CGACGAAGATACATTGAGCGAAACTCATCAATCATGCCTTATTAATAATTCAAGCCGTGTTAAATTTAAAGTGTCACCGGTTTTCGACCTATGCGCGAAGGATTACGCATCAACGAATCGGTTTCCGCGGACTGCCCGTACAGAATTCCCGGAACTAACGGTGCGATTCAACTCGATCTTTTCAGACATCCCGCTGACGTCGATCTGTGGTCCGGCGGTGTGTCCGAGAGGCCGCTTCCGGGTAGCATGCTCGGACCAACCTTCGCCTGTATAATTGCCACGCAATTCAGCTATTCCCGTCGCGGCGACCGATTTTGGTATGAGCTGCCGAACCAGCCATCGTCCTTCACTCTCGGTAAAAGAACCTTTCCAATCGGGGATCACGATCCGATCCAAGGCCGTGATCGCCGATCGTGGGACAAGTGTAATGCCCGGAAATTCTGTTCACGAACGGATCCACTTTCACTTTCCTCTTTTTGCCCCTAGAACAACTGAACGAGATTCGGAAAGTGAAGCTCGCCAGAGTGATCTGCGACAACACCGATCTGATCGATACCATACAGATCTACCCTATGGTCTTGCCCGACCACGAAATGTACGTGACTTTGGTAGCTAAATCTTGGACACTATTGAGGTTGATTTGAAACGATAGTTGACCTTTCGGTTTTAATTGTAATCTTTTATTATGGAGATGTGTGAATGAATTTAACACAGGTAATTGATATAGGCGGATTTAGAAGTTTGGTAGGTGATCATTGTTAAATGAAAGAAGTTTTGATGAGTATTATCTATCGTTGAACTTTGCATCCTTCTTTGAGTCCTTTAGTAATACCTTGTTATTAGAATTTCAAAAGTAAGGACTTTTTTCATAAAACTGATATACCTCTATAAACATAATTTCTAATGAATATTTATTAGAAATATATTTTCGTTGAAACAAAACTGTCGCATCCTATGTTTCGAAAGAAAGTGATTTTAAGGAATATTCGTGTAGCAAGAGTGAATTGTATATTAATTGCAGGATAAACATTTTACTGGATATTGCTTTTTTCACAGAAATCCCCGAGTTCCGTGTCGAAGCGGCATTCTACCTAGCATGGACCTGACCAAATGGGCCGATTATCCTACGTCGAGTCAAGCGCAATATGTGAGTAATCTAGAGGGCCAGTACGAACCATACGGAAAGTAAACAGGCTGTTTTTTAGACATAAAGTATAGAACCGCCTAGACGAACACCACCACGTAGTCAACAACAGTCACGAGCCGAGAAGCACGACCCTTAGGCACCCCTTTACTCGAGACACATTACGGTACTGTAGCATAGCTAAGCCCTAGTTGCGTCTGCACGTTGCATTTCGGATCACCTTAGGGACACATAGCAGACGGACGGATAGACCCCATAGCGGCCTTGAGTAATTATAAACCTCGGATACTTATTAGAAACACCGTAGCCTTAATTTATTATTTAGAAACCGGATTATAATTTACATTCGGCGATTACTGCCTGAATATGAATTATAATTCAATTGTAGTTTCTATTGCAGTTTTTTTTATCCTTAATTTTTATACGTATATACTGTGTGTGTGTCAAAGTAGACAGTTAAGAAGTCTCAAGATGTTTCAAGGCAAATTTGATTCGAAATTGCTGCAATTATCTTTTATATTGTTGCTCCCGTTGGAAATCGTTTAGGGGATCAATCAATAAGAATCGGAGGAGATTTTTAATATATGCAATGAATGTAAGCAGAAATATTCATATTTGAATTATTTTGACCAATCGTTAATACCTAGATGATTGTCGTATATTTAAACTTCTGATATTAAAACAGATTGTAGAATAAATTAAATGTTTTCTGCATCGATGGCAGAAATGCTACATTTCATGAACAGAGGCAAAAGAAATTTGAATGGTAAACAATTTCCAACACGGAAAACAGTATACACACATCAAACTTGAAATGGTATGAATTTCTTCGTGTATATTTGCTAGTGATTATTACCGAAATAGCAAGGACGTAGTATAAGTTGCAATCGCGACCATTGCGTAACCAGAATGCATTTACGTAAAACAACATTCCGCGTTGACTGCTTTTAATAATCGCTTTGAAAGTACAGCATCGACCAAAAGTATAAGACCGAGACTTGTAGTAATTGAAAATAGGAAATGCTATCCATCAAGTATCTAGAAAAATTCTTAAAGGCTCGATGAAAAATTTGTTTGCTTAAATTGCTTCTATGCAAAGTAAGATCCAGTCACACGATATACTTTATCATACATAACAATCACAGAGAACAATCTAGCATAATCTAAATAATTCTAGTTACCGAGTAACAAACATCTTCGTACAAATTCATTTACATTTTACAAATTCTGCAGTTTACCTCTTCATCGCTATTAGTAAATGAAACATGATTCAGTTATTAATGATAAATAACATTTATATCGTAACACAAACAATCATCCTTACAACGCACATTTTTATGTGGTCGTTTAAAAAGTAATTTACTTTATAAAACTGACGGTATTGTTTTTTTTTGGAAAGGATTCATTATACAGAGGCCTAATACTTTTGGCCGACAATGTAGTTTAGTTGATACAGTAGAACAGTTTAGTTGCTCCCGTGTCGCATCGCAGTTGAAACGTTGCGAATATTTGCATGGGTTAACAGGTCGCGAGGCGATCGATACTCTTGCATACAGGATCACTCGTTATTGCTAGTTAGTGTTAGCTAGTAGATAGTGCACGTAGATAAATGTGTACCTACCCGATGGTAGAACGTCGTGCGTTATATAGCGTTCGATTACCTGATAAATACTCGAATATTTATACCGCCAGGCAAACACTTCTTCGTTTGCCCCTTCCCTCGTGAATTCCATTCTGTGATCACTAATCTGGGAAATACAACGGACCTTAAACGTCGGGAAATCATTATATTTCTCTCTCGGACACGATTGCTACAATTGTTATTTACATTACACTCGATAGAGACACGATTAATTTCAAATTCGATTCAAACAATCTTCAATCCACGAAAGATCAATCGATTTCAATGAATTAGAAGTTTTTACAGCCCGTTGTGATTATCGCGGAGATTAATTCGGAGGATGCAAAAATAATTTCAATGCAGTATACTAAGTTGATATATGTATAATATAACTTCTTTGTTTGTTCTACGAAATTGTGGAAGGTGAAATTATTTGTTGAACGCCCTCTTTTGCGTTAGGTCAATGTAGGAATTTTTTAATCGTCAACATTGATGCATACGATTTTGCATAATTCTCCAGTATCAATATATTACTTTGCGAAAACGCTGAGTAAAGAAAAGAACATGTTTACTGACGTGCAACCCTTACAATACATTCAAGTTTCGCCCTTTTTCGCACACTTTTATACGTCGAACTTTTAATTTATTACTCGTACGTGGTAGACGTTAATCATAACAGATATTAAGAACACGCACACGATGTATATAGTAGCACGTAGCTAACGATAATTTCCTTCATCGAATTTCCCTTGAAGCAACGTCTAGTCTTCGCCTCTGTCATAGCAAACATCGAATCGTTTCGTAAGTCTGAGTTTTATTTAACTTAGACGAATCTATTGAAAGAACGCGCACACGAAGTACAACTTAAGTTTAAATTGTCGACAGACATATTTATGAACACAGCTTTCATTCGAAGTAATGTTCTGCTAGTTCTCAATTAAATTGATGCGCAATCAAAATGGAATTTTCAAAAATGGAAAATAAACAATTAATTTTGTTTAGCTCTTAAAAGAATGTTCGATAGCAAACGAATTTCGTTTATTTCTCAGGAATTCTACCCTGTAAAGGGTTAAGCTACGTGTCTGTAAAAAACAATTGTTAACATTATCGCAATCAAGGCAGCAAACCACATTGAACTCTAATTTTGACAGAATACAATTCACTGTACACCATCGTGCAATGAATCAGATCCCACACTAAGCACACAGATTTACGAAACGTCCTAATTTATACTCTTCCCTTAACAATTAGCCTGCGGATATTCACACAGCAACAAATGTTCATAAACCGATCTACAAGACTCGGAACAAACCAAAAACTACGCCAATCTACGAAACTCAGAACAAAATAAAACCACACGCACATATAACACAATAATGTTTCATGTAAACAGTCACAACCTTCCTACATTCCTACACCAATAATTCAATGAAAACCGATACAAAATCTCTCGAAACCTATTACCCTGAAACGTATAAAATCCGCAGCCTATGGACAGTAAATAAAATTACACGAAGTACCAGACAGTTCCATAGTACACAGCCAACATGAAATCTCGAGCGAAATCACACGGTACCGACAAAGTATCGCGGCAGGACGATTGATTCCCTCGAAATCGAAAGGATTCGACGACACCGTACAGCACCAAACAATGTATAACTATTGTACTGTAGCGATTGGTGGAGGAGCACTTGCTTGACCCGCGAAGACGCCAGGCGAGGCCGAAGAAGGTGCGGAACAACTACAACAGAGAGGAGATCTTGCGCCTCTTCTTTGAGAGTATTAACGGCGTTGCCGCGTATCTGGGATTGAGAAAGTAATCCCGCACCCACGAGCAGGTATTCGGAGCATCGAGTGCACGAGGGTGAATACTCCAGAGATTTGTCCCCCCCCACCCCAGTAGATAGAAACGCAGCTTGAGAGCCCCATGCTCGAACCATACACACAAACATACACACACGAACACCTTTTATATCCATGGTTGAATAAACAGCGCAACGTATCCGTCTCTCTATTTCATTTCCGTCACCGTCGAAGCGCGATGAAGGATGCGCATCGCTTCTCTCAACCGCGCATCGCGCAGCATGTGTTTCAACACTGACAAGGAACGTTGACAATCCCCTTCTGATTTTGATGAAAATTCCGCGGTGGAACAACGAAAATAAGTGACGCGTATATGTACTTTTTATCGATGAATATGCGAGTCAGATGAAAGCATTCTTTTTAAGATTGATATTTTTTATGGCGTTCTGGAAAGTGTGTAAGGTAAAAATGTAGTTTGAATGGCGAGGCAAGTTGTTTCTTTTATGGATAATAGTGTCAAGACGACATTTTTTGGGGAAAGTTTGAAGAATGTGGGAGGTAGAGATGGAATTTGAGATAAGCGCGGTTCGTTGATTTTTCGAGAAATTGTTTTTGTTGTGTTGTTATATGAGAGGAGGTGTAGAATTTGGTTGTTTAAGGTATACTCCTAGCTTGAACAGTTTTTGAGATCAGTTTGTAAGCGGTCATTCGTGAAAAGTGATTTTATCCATGAAATTTGTGGTACTGGCAATAAAAGAAGATGCGTGTCCCTTATTTTTGGATATTCTATAGGCTTAGGAAGTTTTGTCGAGGTTAGAAAGGGATGATTGTATAATGTTTCTTGTGATTAAGGTGGACAAGGTAGACTGTCTCCGTAATTTATGATAAAACGTTTTAATTAAAAAGATATATATTTTTTGAAAAGCAGTCAGTATGAAAAAGTTGATTTCTAAAAATTAATGAAAGTCTCGTTTACTTTTCTATTAAGAGAAAGTGGTTTCTTACTTATTTTGTCACAAGTTACGGAACATCAGATACACCGGAAAGAAAAATAATTAATCGAACGAAAAGAATTAATTAACTTCTGTTTAATTAATTAAATTCTGTTGGTAATCCATACGAATTTACAGGATATATCGTAAGTAAAAATAATCTATTAAATGAACAATTATCTCAGCCAAGTGTTATAAAAGTAGCCACTCGAATGCCTTGTCAAGTGAAACAATTAATAATGTCATTTAAGCATCGTTTCGACTCAATCTTTATCAAAAGTTGAAGTCAAATGTTGAATTTTTAAACAGTGGATCTTACAGTGTTAAGTTGATCGACCGTTGAGCCATAAATTATCCCTTTATGAGCCGCGGAAATCCCCATACAGTAACAACTATAAAATAGTACTAAATACATGTAGTAATTTATGCAATACATTTACGTATGTAACATGGTGTGACTATTTTCCCCGTACACTTATCAAAACGGCACGCCACTTTGTCGTTGTTGTTAGACCACTTTCCTCCTTTTTCAGGTAAATGTACCAATAACTAACCAGTGAAGGTCATATAAACATTTTATATTCAAAATTTAATATTTAATATTTAATGTTTAATATTTAATATTTAATATTTAATATTTAATATTCAATATTCAAAATTTAATATTTAATATTTAATATTTAATATTCAATATTCAATATTCAAAATTTAATATTTAATATAAATATTTACATTTATATACAAGAACATTTATAGTTATATTGCATATTCACATTTATAATATAAATATATTATCTTTGTAGTCTTGATTAGTTGATTATTAGTACATTTACCTTAATTGAGGACTATCAAATAAGAGGAAGAAGCCTGACGGTGTGGAGTGTGAGTCTGGCATACGGGAACAGCACTTTAAATCGCTTCGAGTATTATTATATTGTATTATGTATATACGTGTGCATGGTGGTTGCGGCTAAATGACTCCAAGTTTCTATCTCTCATCGTGTTGCATTCAAAATAATTGCAGGATCCAATGATTTTGTTTCTAGGTTTAAAATCAAGTATTTGATAACCTTAAATTGTAAATTTTTAAACTATAAGTTAATTTATATTTAAATTACTACAGTATTTTCGATTCATTTCTTTTAGATTGTATCATAAACTCTCATGGTCACGCTGTGCATAGACCATGAGACGTATGATTAGTGTAAGATACAACATTAAATAATTTTCGTAATATGAAGTTTACTTCGATTCCACAAGATAAGAAGTAATATTTTAATCGGTAAACAAAAAGTAAAACAGAAATTATGATTTTTTTATACTGCTTTTAACTTATTTAAACCGTTAGTGTAAGAAATAAAATTAATATAACAAGTAGCATGCTATTTTAACTCGTATTACCTATACTTCAGTATGAAAATATATTTCTGTGTAAAAATTCACAATTTAATAACCACAGTTGTCAGTGATCCTCCAATTATTTTGACCAATGCTATAAGTTCTCCATAAAAGATGAAGACAGAGTGACTACGTATTTCCCGAGCCACTATACACCCAGTCCCTGTTTATATGTTGTATTTTGTACATAAGTACCGACAACGAATAAAGTCACATTAACAAGAGTGCCATTTATGGAACCTCTATTAATTATTTTGAATTCACCCTCCTCCGCATTGATTAACCCTTTGGTAGCCGTGTCTGGACTTATTTTACCCGAAGTTAAATGATAATTTAAATCGTCAATGAAAATCATATCAAACATAAATGCTTAATATTTATATTCTCCATCTTTTTTTACACATTCTTGACATTTCTCTTTACATTTCATTATTTTTTATGCTAATAAAAACAACAAATGCTATATTATAAATCATCAGTGATTATAAACAAAAACTTTCGTGAATGGTAAAAAATGAATGATAGGTACGGGTCTCTGGTGACCCAGACACGGCAACCGCTCAATAGCTAAAAGCATCCGGTGTTTGATGGTTAATCCGCACCTCGAAATGGAAGAGAAGATGCATCGAGGTTGTACATTGAACGGGAGTTGTTCAGTGTTCTATGCAATGGCAGTGTAAATATTTCACCGCGGTAAGTTATCTAACCCGCGTGAAATTTACTAGCAATGTCGGAAAGAATGATTTACAAGGTAGTTACGGGGCACGCGGGTGTATATCTCCTTCACTGGATCGTTCAATCGATATCACGCAACATTCTGCGAGGTTATTTTTAATCTTGTAATTCGGGAATTTTTGAAAATATAGAGAGATCGTGTACAGTTTCTTTTCTCTTAGACCAAAATTATATTTTGTCGACAAATGAAAGAATAAATATATTGTTTCATTAGACGTATTTCATTAATTAAAACGTAATTTTATTTTCATTAGAAACGTTCAAAAATTCTCACGTAAATGTAATAAGGTACAATTCTTCACCAGAGGTTAACAATTTTCAGAATACTGAAGTTTATCCATCGATTTCCGATTCAAGAAAAGCCGATTTACTATCCAATCGGGGCTCCCTAAACGAAATTAAGAAAAATCTGAAGGAAATGAAAAACGTACAGAAAAAAGATCGCAAACTATTACCTGCAAATAACGTAGCTGAGAGAATGTTGATCGCAGCAAATAAGAAAATTGATACAAATATTGTTAAATATATCCTGGCTAAAAGCATATCTCGAAAGTTAAACGATTCGAAGGATATAAATAGTAATTCAAGTTCATCGACGAAGTACTCAAAAATGACTCCTGTTACAAATTTCAAAACACAGAAAGATAAAGAAACTGTCGAAACAAATCAAATATTAAATAATCAAGTTGCCATTAGACACTCAAAGCGTTCCACGGACAAAAATTCAAGTTACACGAATCCCAGAATAAGAAGTACCTCGATAAACAGTTTCTATCGTCACCCAAATCTCAGTTACGAACAAAAGAAACTTCGCGACACGCTACAACAAGAAGCAATCAACCTAAACCTCGGAGATGCATTAAAAGAACGAGTTCTAAACACGTTAACCCCATCACGTAATTCCTACAAATTCCAATTTTCATCTGGAGAACCAAAGAAACACGAACAAATTCCAGATAATCCGAAACCGAACGCTGCATTCTCCGAAGTGGATGACCTCAACAAACCCGTTACAGAAAATCCGATGAATCCACCTAACAATCTGAAAAACGAAAACCTTAATTCCACGTGGTCAGAAACGTCGAAAACCGACAAAAATCCCCGGGGAAAATCAAGAAATATTATTCGACCAGCAATATCAGTAAATAAAGATCGCTCAATTACATCGAGCTCGGCGGAGGATGAAAAAAAGGCGAAAACGTACATTAATATACAGGATCATCAAAAGACGATCACCGAGACGACGACGTCCTCTGATATCCTAGAATACGATCCGGGAAAAATCCCTTACGTGGACGTACCGGATTACTCGGACATTAGAGAAGAAAGTTTGGACGAAGAAGATCGCCGGCTGAGCAGGAAAAAAATGAAAGAAACGGACACGGAGACCGTTGACCCGGAAATATCGGGTCAGGTGAAGTCGTACGGTGGTTCTGAAGTTGATTCGAAGGAAATGAACGAAGCAAAAGAGGTGTCGGATGTGGGAGACTGGAAAGAGCGAAGAGATTCGCGGATTTACAGTTTCGAAGGGCCTGGGGTGGAATTAAAACGCGAGGATGACGGATCGCCGGATGACTCGGTCGAAAGGGCAGAGGGCGGGAATACGACGGCGCAGTTCGAGCAAACGATTTTCGATGTAAACGAGTACAGAAAGCCGTTCAATTTAGACGAATTTCTTAAGGACGATCCGATAATGAAAAAGCTGGAGTCGCTTGGAAAGGAGACGCCGGCCATGTACGGAGAGAACAGGAAACGCGTTACGAGCCTCTTTAATGAATCCGAGAGTGATAATGCTTCTAGGGAATCGGTTGAGGCGAGGGAAGACTCAGACGAGGATCGAGACGATTATTTTCGGAAATCGCGTCGTTACAGGGGTTTCGGCGGTCTGGGGTGGATGTAATTGGGAGATGAAGGCTGACGGCCATTACGTCGGTTTTGGGAACCTACGGGATTATTCGTTATTTAATTTTAAGTTAATTATAATGTATAGAGATATTTATTCTGTGAATAATTTTGTTGATCACACTGGCGAACAGAGTCTTGTTATGATATTTAACTTTGGAGTAGTTATGCAATAAAGAATGTGAGGTTAGGTTTACGAAGGGAAATCAGATATCTGTACGTTGTTTTTCTATCTTTGGAAAGTTTAATATAAGTTCATTAATTGCGAATGAAATGAACTGTAAAAATAAGTTTAAATGGATATCCATTAGGAACTATGTTTGACTTGTTAATTGTTGAATGATTTTCCTATTTAAAAGCAAGTTCCATTTAAGAGTTAAAAATATTAATCTAATGGAACATACAAGTTTCTTGTGCTACGATGCACAGATACGAAAGGAAATGAAAGATAACGCGTAAAACAGAGAAACAGGAGATCGTAAAGTTTCCAACAGAAATGGCAGCGACGAAAATTTTCCAGGTTCCGTGGGCTGGAGGTAAAGAATAGAAGGTTGATACAACATCTCGATGTAAAAAGGAAGAATTTCTGTCGTAGTATTTCTTCGGTGACGCCAGGAATTCGCAAGATACGGACGTCCAAGAAAATCATAGAAGAAACGATCGAAGCAAAGAAGACTGGTACCGCCCATTGTCCACTATCTTGCACGAGAAAAAGGGTGTTCTACAGTTGAATGAGAACGTCGATGAAAGGATCAAAGCTGGAGGTGGACAGGAGCTCGATTGCAAAAAGTTCTGCGCCTGGGAGTACGAATTTCCGCGCAAGAAATTCGACGTGGAAGTGTAAGAACGAGAAAATGGCAGATGTTATTGCTATACGCGACGCACGGATGATTACTGTTACTCGGACAATATACGAGCCGATACAAAAGAATTATTGTTAAAATAATTATGAAAGTCTCGAAGAGGAAATTGAAAAAAATGTAACCATTGTTTCATTATATTATTTCAAATTAATTAAGTAATAAGAACTAATCGATAAGTTGATTGTTAGGAAAGATGTTCAACAATTATTGGAAAAGACTGTTAAAATGTGTTCGGTTGGAATAAAGTATCATATTAAATGTTACTGAGATAAAAGATGCAAACTATTCGTTATGACTAACCCTTATTGACGTTTATGAAATACGATACGCAAGTTCCATGATATTTCCAATTAATCATGACATTTCGAATTCTTATCTGATCCTATAACAACACGTAAAGTTGATGTGCAACATCACGTAGGAAAAGAACAGCGCATTAAAAGGATCGCGTGCGCGCAGGGAATTCCCTGAATCAATGCATCCATGATGAATTTTTTTCAGAATTTCGCGATCATCGCATTGTAGTAAATAGCGTAATTATTTTCAATGAGACGAAAAATTTGCGACGACAAGTTTATAAAATCAGTTCCCTTTTTAGGAAATTTGAAGAACCAAGAGCCAAGAACCAGTCTTAAATTAAAAGTAGCTTTTTCAAAATTATTTCTATAATCAAATTTACAGATATGTTAAACTATCTTCAAGAAATTGTAGCTAATCAAACATTTGTTTTACCTGTCACAAGCATCGCTAATCTTCGATCAAGCCAAAAACATTATCAAAATGCCTCGATCCTCCCGCTATACTAAATCTTGGATAAATCGCATATCATGAACGTGCAAATACCCGCCTCTGCTTACTACGCACCACCGAGTAATGAAGAAGGCCGCCCAATAAACTCGTTAAAATCGATGAACAAATCAAGCTAAACAATAATGTCGTATAACCCAGTGGCGAAATGAAATCTCCGCGGATTGAGTCAGCAGGCGACGGCAAAGCAACCAGAACCGATTTCCACGTTGACGGTAACGCACCCGGCGGTAACAGCGCTCCCCCTTTAACCAATTAGAAACGGCGGAGCCGGCGTATCGATCGATCGAACGAAATTTCCACGCGTAATCCCATCGGAGGCGTTTCGAGCGATTCTGAGTGCAGGAAATCGAAGAAATCGAATTAAGGTAAGATAGGCAGCGGGGTTTCCCTCGTCCGAGGGATGAATCTGGCCTCAACGGATACATATATAAGGCCGTCATCGTACCAGTGCTCAGTGTCACTCGTCTGGCTTTATCAATTCCCAGCAGCCTCGGCTCGATCCGATCGTGAACGACCAGGTAAACACACCAAGACGCGTCGCGACCGGCCTAAAAGACGGACGATTTTTCGTGAACGGACGCCGATACGGACTGATTACCGTGCGTTGACAGAAAGTTTGCAACTGACAAAGAGGCAACAGGAGCTTTGCACTGTGTTTTGTTCGCGGTACCGATTAATTACCGTGTGATCATCAACAAATACAGTAGAACTTCGGTTATTAGTAACTAGAACCAGGGTGGTTCGGATCAATGAACAAGTAGTTCACACAATTGAATATTAAAAGAAATGGAAAATGACACATCACCGATTCAGATTATCTCGGATAACTAAGGTTCGGATAATCGAGGTTCCACGGTAACGCGGCATATCTTCGAAAACGCGTGTGAGAAGAGGCGTGCCTTGCGTCGACGGAAAGAAGTCACCTGAAAAGAATTCAAGTTCAATTGGTCGGACTGGAAGGGGGCACGCCTGTTCTCGCAAGCGTTTTCAGCAGTAACATGCTATTCATCGATACGATCACAAGGTAATTAACCAATACCGCGAGGAAAATGCGCAGGGAAAGACCCTCCTGTAACCCCGCCACTAGCGCCAACTTTCCATGAACACGCGATACGTGCTCGATCGCGGCGATCGGTCTCGCCTGCCGAGAGATCACGTCCGCCGAGTATCAAGCTGGGCTGCCAGGTCCATTGATCCGCAATGGCGTTTCCATGATCCGCGATCATGCGTTTAACAACCACACCGAACCGCGCCGCTTACTCTCGCGAGCGCTCGCACGATCGAATCGATCGATCCTTGGTCTTGAATCTTCAAGTGCTTCCTGGAGAGGCCAGCCTGAGAGACGGAGGGAGAGGAAGAGAGACGGCGAGAGGCGCCGGACAAAGAGACACCTACCATCCATATTTATTATCTTTATGTGTTCACAATGCGGCCGTTAAGGAGAACGCGGAAGCACGCGATATGTCGGGGATTCCGGTTATAAATGACACGGTGTATTTGAGAAAGAGAGACGGAGCGAGGGACGGGGATCGGAGCGGGGACAGGGGAAAAAGGAAGGAAAAGGAAGGCGAATACGCGCGTAAAACACGGACGGGACGTAAGCGACGGGTATAGTGGAGAGACGATGAAAAAACGACGGTGGCCACCGACGTAGCGGACACGCTGGACCGCTCGGAGTGACACGGCCGCCTTCGGGCGATATATGCCCGACGTCCGCGGGAACGGAAGGATAATTCGGACTTATTGACAGAAGCTACACCTCTGTCCGGCGACGTTGCGTGCATCGTAACACCGGGCAACCCCTGGCGAGAAATATTCGGGTGAAAACTGGTGACAGTGTTATTGGCGATAGGATGACCGGTACTCAGTGATACGATTCGTAAGTGATGAATGCAAATATGAACAGACAAGGCACTCAGCAGTTCTCTGTGAGAACATTTTGGAAAGACTCGTTTTAATACAGTGATCGGGGAAGTTACTTAGATGTATTTATCGTGGGTGTAGTATGGATTATATAATCGTTTTATCAGGTTTTAAGTTGATAGCAATCGCGTGGCTGGGGTGGAGTAGATAGGTATAGTGAATATAGAGGTATCTGGGTTCTTTTTTTGAAGACGAGACTGTAGATTGGTTTAATATAGAGTGAACTTCGTACGTTTGTTTGGTACACCAAGTGAAATAGTAGTAGAAACAAATTTTGCTTTAGTATCAGTACGTTGAATTTAGGGTAGTAGAATACATAAAATAATGAATAGAATTTAACGTTTTGCTTAATAGTTTAGACTGATTGATTTAGACAGATTCATAGTTTGAGCACGCTAAGTCAAGTGATTGTTTCGTTAATGTAAAAAGAAATCTTAATAATAGGAATCTCCAAATCTTAATCTGCAATGAACATACTCATCCCACTTAACAAGGTTCATATCGAGAATAACGAATTTCGTTTTCAAACGTATTTCCAAGAATCGACAGAGTCATCTATTTATATAAACATCCACAAACCTATCTACAAAATTTCTTTTCACACGACTTTCGATAGGCTCGCGTAGTAAACTGATGGATTCGTTTAAAGAATACTTTTCGCCAGGGGTTGCAACCGGCGTGCACCGAAAGTATAATTAACGTGTATCGCAATCGACCGGCTCGATGGCATCGACATCCGAGTTATCCCTGAAAGTTCATGGATTTCTCTCACCGTCTCTTTCCTCGCCTCTCAGTCCGCCTTATCTGCCGCACGGGACCGGTAATTAATCGAGGAAAGTGAATATGATATCGATGCGGCTCTCAGCCGTATACATCCTGCCGGAGGCTAGTCAGGTATACTTGTATCCTGTTAGCACTGCCTTCACTAGGACTCGCGTTCTACTGGAAACGTACCGGTAAATTTTTACAGCCGATTGACGGTACGGTTATCGGGATTCGTTATCTTGTCGGTGATAGATCTTGTTACATCCGTCGATCGGTCCGGTGACGAGACTACTTAATCGTCGTACGATCAATCATTCCTTTTCTCCTTTACGTTTTTATTCTTCCTTGGAAGTTACATAATCGTAAACCGAGACTAACTGTGAATGAAAGTGTTTCGATCTGTGTTGGAAACTTCGAACGCTTTACAACAAGTGTTCTCATTTTTCCGTTGTTCATTTGGAGACTGAACTTTATGGTTTTGTTTATATACTTGATGTCAACTGTGTACCAGCTGCATGACTGTCGTAAAAGATTTCGAAAGAATGTTTAATCGTTACTTATTTTTTTTCTCCTCTTAATTGAAATTATTTTTTCCATTGATTTATTGATTTTTTTATTGATAATTCTTATTGATATCTTCGAGAGATTAATTCTATATTTATATCTTTTGCAGCCATGAACGCATATACTCGCATCTTCTTGGTACTCCTCGTAGCTTCTACTATGATCTTCGTGCTTACCGCTGGAAGTTCTCCATTTGATCGAGCCATTGGTAAGCTTATCATTTTATAACTTATATGTTTGAAGACGTTTATAAGTATATATTTACCAAAATGTTTATATTATTAATCCTATACGTTAATTCAGTGAACTTCTTTACATATTGCTTCAATCATTTCCTTACCAAAATATTAATTGACGAGCATAATAAATATAAATCCTTGATAATATTAACGAATACGAACGTAAGAACAGAAATGACCATACAGTAATTGAGATATCACATGATCGGTACAAGGCGTAAACAGAGATATAACAGGAATATAACGTTCACTATAAATTTCATATAAGTACCCGTATTACACTTCCAAATCAATACAATTAGACAGTTAGAAAGGCCAGCAATCTTAATAATCGATACCTCATGCAAATACCTCTACATAACAGGCAAAAATATCTATTCTTAAACGATCTCGTTCTCATATTTCCGATAATTGGATCGTTTAATAATCCCTACGATCAAATAGCACTAACGACAAGTTTGCAACAAGCTATTTGTCAACGGTGCTCAATTTTCGTCTTGTGAAAAAGAAATAGAAAACGGGAGCAAGTGAAAGTCAAGAGAAATGAAGTGCGCAGAAGGTTCGTTCGACTGTTCTATTCAATTAATTTGTCACTGTGATTTCCAGGGGTGTGCATAAGGAACTGCGCCCAATGCAAGAAAATGTTCGGACCATATTTCTTGGGCCAGAAGTGCGCTGACTCTTGCGTTAAGTACAAAGGAAAGCTCATCCCCGACTGTGAGGACGAGGGTTCGATTCAGCCGTTCCTCCAAGCACTTGATAGCGACTATTAACTATCTACCGCTTGCGTAAAGTTCCTAGCAATTTATGTTCGCGTCGATATTTTTGTAACGTCCGCTAAATGTATGTGTTGCGTGTGCGTGTAATCCACAATGGAAGGAATTTAAGATCTGACGCGATTCGCCTGTAATTCCACGTGATCAATGTTTACAGTATTCTCTTATTAATTTTTCTTTTTAATGATATATACACGTATATATATATACATATACATATACATATATTTTTTTTATACAAACGCAGAGGGATATTTAGATGAAATTTCGGTGACACGAAACACTGTGATCGACGTTCACACGTGACTGTGACAGACTCGAACCGTTTGAATGAGTGTGTACGCGTGCGTGCGATAAGAGATTATAATTACAGGTCTGATACCTGTAAGACATTCCGCGTTGCGAGGATTCTTTTTTTCAATAATCGAGAACTATAAGCGTTCCGAGGGATTCTTTGTATTTTGCATCTCAATGTCCAGTATTCGAATATACTCAAAACATTTATATATTTAAGGTATTACTTAATGAATAAGGCAACAGAAGAAGAGAACACGATGCGGAGAAAATAGGGTAAAAGATAACCTGTAGGATAGAAAAGAAAAGGAAACACAAGAACCGACCAAGTTTACATAATCATGATATTATACACGTTAATTTTCAGTCAATAAATACAGTGTCCGAAATGTTCTCGCTAACAAAGCGTCGAAACTAACATTCACTATTATGATCGTCAACTTTGAGAGTTCATTGAAACGACCTACTCATTCTAGTTACGAAAGATACCTGAAAAGTAAAAAGTACCGAACCTCGACAGATGTTTATATTGAAATCGAACATCTTTTGAGGCAGCAACGTTTAAAGTACAATAATTTCACTCACCGGAAGTGGACTACTCAGGAGAAGGAGGCGCTACGTAGCATTCCGGTATTGTCGACAATGCTTGCCTCGATTCCAGTTGTTGTACCTGAAGGAGAGAAAGAGTCACGTGAACTTTGTCGCATCGTTGCTACCGCTACGATCTTGTTTCGTTTCGTTTAAGCGCATATTTACACGTTGTCGGAGGGTCTTCTCGTTCAGAGCTGCTCTCGATAATAAATGTTTCATTTTGTCTAAGAGCTCCGACTTGTGGCTCAATTGTTCCCTCAACACCTTAACCTCCCCGTTTTCGTCCTCCCTCTGGACGGCTTGCAGCGCGGCTAATCTTTGCTCAGCCAACTGCAAATCCGCTTCCAATGCAACCACGCGCTTCTGCGCTTCCTCGTATTGTTTCTGTAACAAACTATCGCTCTGCCTGCCCGATAATTTACCCTGGAAATAGAATCAATAGAATGGTCACTTTTGTGGACGCTGAGTAAAATTATTATAATCAGTTTAATAATATTGCATAGCCTCCCTATTAGTCCGTTTCATACTCATACGTCACGTTAGAAATAGGAAAAAAGTAACAATGAAATAAATGCAATAATTTTCAATTGGATGGAGAGGGAAAATGAGAATCTGAAATTTTCGTTTTAAGTTTTGGAAAAAGATTCGAAGCATATATTAGACTTGTTTATTAAAAAATGAAGATTATATTAGGATTAAATGAAAAATGATTAGATATTACCAAATATTAATAGATTATAAATTTTAAACGACGAGAGAATTTCTTAATGTACAACACTAAATAATAAAGACACTTGAATCATGTACAATACAACATTCATTTTATTTTTAATCAAAATAAAACTTTAACGTAGGAATTGAATTTCTATTTCTACAATTAGGCAATTTTTTAAAATTCTTCTGAAGATATGGAAGATTATGGAAGAGTGAGACTATTAGGTATTCTGGCTTTATAAAGACTCGTTCATATTCCTGAATCACGAGCTACTAGGGAGGCATTACTAGAATATTATTTCCGTGCCTGATGTATGACGTGATTCTTTTTCGAGCCGACCCTAAGACGTTTGTTCTCCATTTGCAATTTCTCGATAATTCGTTTCAACGTGAAAATGGTTTTTTCCATTTCCAAATTGGATTTCTTCGCACTGTACTCTTGTAACTCTTTGTCTAATAACCTAGGAGTCGAATCTGACGATTGTTCCACTTTCAATAGTTTTATATATCTAAACGGAAATAAGAATTTGATAAGTAGATACATACGCACCTCGACCATCTGATTTATATAAATCAATTCGGGAACCTACTTCTCTAAATGCTCAACTTTCTCTCGCAACCTCGGCGTATCAGCATTCGCCTTTTCTAGCTCAAGTCGCAACTCGAAATTCTCGCTTTCCAAGGCCAGGTTCATTTTCTCGAGTATATCCTTGGTCATTTCTAGTTTTTCTAATGGCGTTGCAACGCAATTGCTGCCCTACATGTTTATAAACGGAAAAATCTATTGTTAAGCAATACCCACTTAATTATTCGTTCAATTACGCGAGTATTCAAAAATTAATTCGCCCTCTATTGCCACATACTTTTCAACCTATACTTATAAACATGGAAAATATAATAAGCATGTTTTAATCTTAATTGTTTTCTCTTGTATACGTAACAAAGAATTTATAAATAATCCCGAGGTAATCTCAAAGTGCCCTTCAATTTCGCAAGAGGAACGTTCACAAAGTTTTATTACCTTATGGCTCGTTTAAAACGCATAAACTGCAATTTACATGTTCTTTCGTTCGCTGATTACAGGTGTGTAAAAAATTATGCATATTTTTGTCATGAATATCCCGTGCAAGTATTCGGGTAATAATATTCGAATGCCGGAATAGGAATAATCCGCAACAAGATTATGTTCAAAAGGTTTAAAGAATGTTAAACAATCCAACAGTATGTCCTCGAAATTTACCGAAGAAAATACACCGTTGTTATGACTAACCTGAGAAATAACTTCTAAAGCAGCGATACGTCTCTTTTGCTCCTCGATTTTTAGCAGAAGTTTTTCATTGTCTTCATTTTCTAACCGGTCAGTTAACTCTTTGATACGATCACGAAGGATGTGACATTCTTTTTGCAGATCTTCCATCACGTTTTGCTGCGGAGGTCTAGCGGACAAACCTCCGGCAATGATGCCATGTTCCATTTTCAATTTGCTCTTTAAGTACCATTTCTCCCTTTCCATACAGGTCACCACCGATCGAAGTTTTTCATAATTAGAAAGCAACTTTTTGTATTCCTCTGTTTTGTCTTTGAGTTTCTCTTTCAATTTCTCGGCGGTTTGTTGCCATTTTTTCTGTTTCTCCCATAGCGAGAGTTCTTCTGCGGTCTGAGGAAAAATGATCCCGATTTTATTGTATTTATTCATCGAAACCAGACGAACGAATGGATATCTCACTTTGTTTTAGATTGTACACTAACGTTTTACGCGTACCTTAACCTTTTTCGCCTCTTGGGCCAAATACTCGCGATCTAATTGAGCCTTCGCCTTTTCCAGCTCCGTCTCTAAAGTTTTTACTTTATTTTCTAGTTGCGTTTCTCGTTGCGAAGCTTTTCTTTCTTGAGCTTTTACGGCCATGTATCTGGGATATAAGTTAATAAGAAATATTTAAAACCTAAAGAGTTGCAGTGAACGCTGTATTTTGAAAGTTTAATCGCAAATTAGAAATTCTATGAGTAAATTGGTTCATATATTTTATAATACTTTAGAGTTCTTTAAATATGAAACTGTTTTACGTTATTTATTTTGATAAATTTTTATCCAAGCGATAGACACAATTTAGAAATATATGTTCTAGTTTTCTGTAACGTACTTATTCTTCCTTTTTAATAATAATGTGCTATGTATTATTCAGAAATTCCGACGAGTACACTTTCCTGAATTGGATAATTACATTCTTACAACAGAAAAATACCTGCGACTAAGTTGCTGCTTTAAGTCGCAAATTTCTTGTTTATAGGCTTTCTCCTTTTCCAACGACGACTGCAATTGTTTGCGTACCGCATCTACGTGTTGCGATTGCTCTCTAAGATTTATTGTCTGTGTAATTTCGTGCACCTTAGATTCCGATTCTGCCTGTGTTATTGCTCGTTGCGATCTGGACGCCGACTCCATTAATTCAACTTCATTCTTAGTGCAAAAATAACACAATATGTTTACAAATTCATTTACGCTGTGATTCAAGAAGAATATATATCTCAATATGTAAAAATTGAAAACTTTATAGACATTTCCAATGTTTGATATGTTAAAAAGGTTATCCCATAATTTGGGACGGAAATTTGCAGAAATATGAAGGAATTAATTAATTAACAATTAATTTTCAAAGCATAGTAAAGAGAATCAGAGGAAAGATTCGAACTGAATTTTCACTATAAATTAGTACTTCTTTTAACGTATGAAAAGGACAAAGGGACGAAATTTCAAGTGAAAGGGTCGATGAAATCTATCACTCTAAAACTGCCATTTATTCATACATTTTCAAAAACGAACTGAATTGTCATTGTCAACGAAATTACAAAAGTGTGAATATAGAAGACAATGCACTTGAAAATAACTCTAATTACCATTATTATTTAATCAATTATTATATACAACGACATAATCAAATTAATGAAAAAGTTATGAATACAATAGTGTTTACAGTTTCTATAAAAGAAATTCTACAAATGTTCAACTTTTTGGTCTCTCCCGATGTATATCCCACCATAACTATCTATCTATTCCTCCGTAATGGCTGCAATACCTGGAGCTGCTGACAGGTGAGACTCAGTTCGTGAATCTTGTCTTCCTTTTCCTGTAGTTCCTTCATCAAAGAAATGTTTCCCTTCGTCAGCAACATGCGATTCTCGGACAACTGTTTGCGCAGCATGTCAGCTTCGGATTGCCACTTTTTTAGTTCACCACGGTAACTTTCCAATTCACTTTTGTGTTGCTCTTCGAGTCTGGTAAGGAGCAACGATACTTAGGAAGCGTTCTGATACGAGAGGAACGTTGCATCGAACCGCGTAAAGTCGTACCTTCACTTTTATCATTCTTATACATTGAATTACAATCTTATACGAATAATCTCTGTACATTAACTACTGACAATAAACCTATTAGCAAATATAGCCAACAAACTTTCAAATTGAATTCCCTCAAAAGAAATTCCAAACAAATAATTTGTTTGCATATCTTCGAACTATTTTATTTATTTTAAATAACATGCTCAACAGTTCCATTAACACCATAATATGAGCATACACGTGAAAGAACTTTTATGTGCAATACAATGAAACAAATAAACAAAGAAAAATCAAAATAAATAGATACATAAATATTTATAATATCTCTTATCTTGTTTCATCTTTCAAAGCCTTGATAGAAAAATAGATAGCTACCTCTAGTAGACCATAGCAAAAAATGCTTGGTATATTACCTTATTTTACAAACTTAGCCCAAGTCTGAATTGACCTAATCTACATAACGCTTCTATAAAGTTGCAACTCACCTCTCCCTCATGCGGTCCATGTGCTTCAGTCTTTCCTCGGCCAATAAATGCCACCGATCGCTCAACTCTCTCGTGGTGTTCAGATCCGCTTCGAGAGTCGAGACTTTTTCACTCAGCCGCGCGATCTCCTCCGTCTGCATAACGTTGCTCTTGACTTCGACTCTTGGCACAGTATCTTCCACGTTACCATTAGTCAACTTCTCCGACTCGGTGGCTCCGCTACCATTTCGCGTTGCAACCTTATGAGCCTCCGCCTGCATGGACTGGACACGACAATGCAAGCTCCTGATTTCCTCCTGCAAGCGGGCCGCAGCTTTGCTATGCTCGTCTCTGTCCTCTTTCAGTAGGCTCTGGTACCTGGCTATGGTCTCCTCTTTCTTTCCTATCAACTGCTGCAGACTATTTATCGTCGACTTTAAAGCTAGCTTGTCGCTGCTCTCCGTACTAGTGAGCTCCAGTTGAGGGGCTTGCTTGCTACACTCCTCCAGTAGCTTTTCTTTTTGCTTCAATTGTAGATCCTTGTTCTCTATTGTCCTGGTAAATGATTCTACCTTCGCCCGATACTCTGCTATTTGCAATTCGCATTTCACTATTTCCGCAGATCGATCGGAAGCTAATTTTAGAGCTTGATTCAATTGACCACGGAGCGAGGATATTTCTTGTTCATTTTCGATTTCTTCTTTAGATTCTCCTATGGTTTGCCTTTTCTCTTTTGTTTCCTTTTGGTCCATTTCTGGATCTGTATGATTGGTTTTCTCAGTCTGGTCAAGTTTGTTTTTCTGTGAATGCGGTTCTTCTTCGAGATCGATGTTTCTTGGCGGAGTTGTTTGTACCTCCATTTCACTAGTGGTCTTCTTTTCCAAGCAACACGTGTACGGATCTGTTTGTACTTCGTCTGATTTGGTAACTGTCGTTGCTTGTACCGATTCATGCTTGTTCTCCGGTGATACCGGACTCGTTCCCGTGTTGTGCGTATCGATTTTCAATTGCTGATCTTGAGTCTTACCCCAAGCTCTTTGAATTCGTATCATTTCGTGTTCCATGCTAGTTATAAGAGACTCGTATTCCGTGAATTTATTTCTGGCAACTTGTAACTGGTTCTCTAGTCGAGTTATTTTTCGTTTGTACTTGAAATCCTGATGAATTATTCGATTGAGTACTTGTAATTTAAAAGTAATTCTTTACAGTGAAAGAAAAAGAAAGAAGAGTATAGTCTTAAAATGAATTTCAATGACGTATAACATAGTTTTATATATAAAACTAGATTAGAAAATGGATTAACGTATTGTCATATAAAATTTGTTTTGGGGAAGACAGTTTTTTTAATTTTTAAAATATATAAAAATCTAATTAACTTTTTAACTAGTTGTTAAAAAAGTTTACCAAAAATAATATGAAATAGTAACATTAACGATCTTTAATGATTGCAGAATATTCTCAATAAGAATATAAAGTTTGGAACGTACGTTCAAAGTGTACTGCGAATACTCTGAAAAATGCTGCATAATATCCTGAACACTGTTACTTCCGATTTGTTGTTCCAAAATATCTTTCAAGCTTTCGACAATCTGCAAACGGTTTATTAGCATTTCCTGTTGCAATTTAGCGTTCTCGTGGCACTCTTTCGCGTTCGCTAATTCAGAATCAATAGTCTGTCGCTCGTCCTTCAATTTGGAGGATAACAATGTTATTCTGTCGAGAGCACTGATTGAAGTGCAACCTGCATATTGATTCTGCAGGAATCCCATAACATCTATATACATTCTGCAAATAAATTCTAATTGTTACCTTGAGAGTTTAAAATCTCAAGTTTCATTTCTAATAATAACTCCTCAGCGATTCAAAAATTGTAAACATTAAATAGTGGAATATGCTTCGCTAATTGAAAAATACTAAATTGGCAAAAGATAATTTATTGTTCAAAATTACTGGAAAGTAATCCTCATTATTTAATAAAAACATTTTTACGTTAAATTTTATTCGAATTAATATAATTGCAGGATATTATTTAAGCTTTCATTTTGCAACCCAATGATATCAATTTTACTAAAATTTACCATGAAACTTGCGAACATAATCTACCAAGAATAAACATTACAAAAAAAACGAACTTGATTGCAATTGGATCAAACACTGCTTAGAGGGAGCTGAAATTCTGTAAAGCTATCATCACCTGCATCGACTTTCGCACTGTTTCCGGCAATCTTGAACATAACTACGCAATCCTTCACACGTCTTTCTCAATTTCTCCAATTCCTCCTGCATACACGTCACTTCGTTCTCGAGATGTACTTTCTGCGCGTTCAATTCCATCTCCATCACTTTTTTGCTCGACAATTCGAAGTCCAGCCTTGAAATGGTCGCTTTGTCCTCGCTGATCGCTTGTAAGTCCAGAATCTGATGCCTCAGACTGTCCAACTCCAGGATCTTCAACGAGTTCAGCGAGTATTGCTTCTCAGCCTCGTCTTGAGAAATCTGAAGCAACTTCTTCAGGTTCTCGATCTCCAGCTTCAGTTCTTCGTTATTATCCTTCAATTCCTGTACTCTATTGTCGCTTAATGTTTCAGAATTCTCGAAAGACATCTCTTTCGACAGCCTCTTGTGAAGTATAATTAACTGCTCCTGCAGTTCAGACTTCGCCGTAGCCAGCTCTTTAACATTCTCTTCGCACTTCGACAACTGGACTTGCAAGATCTCGTGCAAACTAGTCACATGGTCAGCGCGTTGCTTCTCTAGCAACTCATTTGCCTTAGCTTCCTTCAACTGACTGGTCAAATCTTCCTCGTTCTCGAAAACAACTTCCTTCTTCAGAAGCTCGATGATCTGATCCTTCTCTTGCTTCATCAGGTCTAATTCTTTTCTCAAGACTTGCACTTCTTTATCGTTTTGCAACACAATGCTATTTTCTAGTAAATCTCGCAATCGTATACTCAGTTCCTCGTGCTTCTCGTTCAACTCGTTGTATGCCGCCTTGCTGATAGAGTTCGATAGATTACTCTGCAACGTCGAAATCTCACGTTCGAGGATCTTATTGTGCTTACTAGCATCTGCGAGAGATTTTCTTAAGTTGGTTTCGTTCTTTATGGCTTCCTTTTGCTCCCGATACACTTTCGCAGTCTCTTTGTTTAGCAGCTGCTGAAAAGCGTTGTTTTTTCTTTGCACGACAATCAACTCGCCGGCAGCTTCAACGTATTCTCTGGTTTTAACAACGAATGCTTTTCGAATCTCGTCTTCCCCTTCCTCCAAAACCTTCATAGTCTGTTCATAAACTTCGAGCTGTAATTTTAACTTCTCGATCTCACTCGTTAATTCCTCGTTCTGCTGAGTCAACGAGTCTTTTTGTCTGCTCCATTCTTCAGCTTCGTTTTCATAAGCCTCCTGCAACTGCTTCGTCTCGTTTAGATACACCGCTATCTTTTCATTATCCAACTCCTCCGCGTATATTTTCTCGATGCTCGTGTCTTTGTTCAATGCTAAGGTTTGCAGTATGCTGTCCTTCCTTTGCAGTTCCTTTCTGCAATTAGTTCGATCCTTTCACTTGAATCCATTTGACAGTTCGATTAAATATTTTGGGTACGCAACATTATTTTTATTAACTTTATTTTTATTTCTCTTGTTACATAGGATTTGTCATTAAAACCTCTTGCATAAATTAAGATTGCAAATTTTCAACAGTTTTCGAGAGTTACGACAATTTTGAACGAAACTTTGGTAACTACAGATGTTGTGAAATTATTTGTATAATAAAGAGAGTTAGTATGTTGAAACAATAACTGTTTTAATTTCAGTTTAGAAACTAGAGTAATAAACTGTACAAATTACAATAATCTATAAAGTGGAGCTAGAAATGGGGATAGTTACTGGAAATATTTAATATTTCATTTGTATACCTCAGCAATTTGAGTTGCACTCTTAATTCTGAGTTAGTGCCTTGCACAACGTTTAGGTGTTCCTGTAATCTCATTGCTGGATGGTACCAGCCAGCCAAATGTCTCACATCTAATGCTTCCAGTAGTCTTTCTAATGTACTAGATTGTATTTCGACTAAGCTTTTACCTGAGGTATTAAATAATTAAGTGTTGGACTGTAAACTGCTTATGTACGAATCTAGCGATGAGTATTTATATCGATTTAATGTACGAGGACTGAGGGAATGTCCTGTCACTTACAATGCTTGATTGTAGGTGATGAGAAAACAAAATTAATATTATAATATTAAGTATCACAATTTTTTAAAAATATGACATATATAAAATAGTCTATGTAATTCGAAATTGATATAAGTATTCACGATCCAGAGAAAATATAGACAGAATTTTCCGACAAGCTTAATAAAACGCAAACGTGGTTAGTATACGTGTGTTTCATAGTTTTTGTGTGAATTAAAGATAGTCAGAAATTGGAGAATGAATTGTTTGGGTGAACAGAAAGAAGAAAACAGTGCATCGATAAAGTACCGTTAAAATTAGCGGAAATTCACCGTCTTGGTTACGGATACAGTCCAAAATTTCGTGCATGCCCGTTCTAAGAGCTTCGTTTTCTTCTATAACCAGTTCCAAGTTCTGTTGCAACGCAGACAGTTTTGTCTTATTATACGGTAATTTAGAATCAGACTCCAGCAGTTTCGTCGAATGGAGAAACTCGGTGCTACCATCGACTTCACTACACGAAAAATCGAAATCTTTGGAAGTTTTACTTAGTTTGTACTTTAACACTCTTATCTAGAAAAAGGAAGCCTTGCATAGATCATATATTTTGATTGGAAGATAAAAATTCACTAATTATACATATTGAATTCTTACGTCTGACTTCAATTCTAAATTTTCTTCGACGAGCATTTTATTCTGTTGCATGAGCTCCTCTAATTTTTTAGCTTCACGCTTTCGTTTCTCTAAAATATGCTGTATCGATACTGATTCGTCTTCTGGGATTCCTAGCTTTTCTCTAAAGATCGTATCGTTAAAATATAATAAAGTTCGATAACGGGAAGGGACACTATACATTTACCTAAGAGTTATAATTTCCATTTCTTGATAAGAATTTAACATTCCTAATTTGTTGACGATATTTATTAATTCCCTTATATGTTCATTTTTATCCCTCAGATCAGTTTTCAACTCTTTTATTTCGTTTAAGGCATCTGTTAATCCTTCATTTTCGTCCTCATATTTTTTTAATGTTGCTAATACCTCACACAACTATATCGAAATGTTAGTAAACAAATTGTGATAGTAATTGTCAAGTATTAAATACATAAGAAACTGACTTTACTACTCTTTGAATTAGCATCTTCCTCTGTCTCTATTAATTTCATTTGCAGTTTGGATACTTGTTCGTTTGCATCTTGCAGTCTTTTTAATAAATCTTTGACCTCTTTTCTTTTGCTATTCTTTCCAACTCTATATAAAAAGATTAATAAGATATCTATAAATGAATCTCTACTATTATTATTTTTATTTTTCGTTAAAAATTATGTACATACTTTTGGGCATCTACTTTTAATTTTTCAATCAGTGTGGCACTTTCGTTAATTTCCACAACAGCTTCTGAAAGCTTTGCTTTTAATTCAGTTATAATTTTATCACGACAGTCTATTTCCTCATTTAAATGAACTATTTCAGATTTATTCTGCTCTTGAGCGGAGACCACTGATTGCATAAATGTTTGTGATATATTTTCTTGCAGTCGTTGAATTTCTGCATCTTTCTCATCTAGTACAGCCTAATTAATTTTCTTATGAGCATATGAAGGCTATTAACTTCCATTGACTACTCATTTAAAAAATCACATCTTATACCTTCCATTCATTAATTCTAGCATCAATCGCAGTACCAAATTCATCTATCACTCTATCCCTATCTATTTGTTGAGCAGTCACCTCCTCAATTTGAATAACTAATGCAGCATTTTCATGTTCTAAGTAAGATATCCTATCTAAAAAGAGAATTTCTTATAATTTTACTATACATACTATCACTACGATTAAACAGAATCATATTTAGCAACCTTTATATTCTACAGATTTAATTCGTGCAGAAGACAACTCTTCTGTCATTTCGTTCATTTTTTGTGTAGCATCCTCCATCTCTCTAGTTAATGTTGTCAATTGTTCTTTCAAAATAACATTGTCCTTTTCTAAATTCTACAAGCGGTACAAATAAAATGCACTAACCATTTTACTAATACTCCCTTATCACCTACACTTACCTCTAATTCTAACATTAGAATTTTTATTTTTTTATTTTTCCCTTGCAATTCACTGTTATCTGGTGTATCCAAATGCTTAAAATGATTACATAAACCTTTGTATTAAAAATATTATCAGTAAACACTTATTACACAATTAATGGAATGTCTTACTTTAGATAAATCATTGGTTTCATGTTGTATACTAGCTGTATCCCATTCTATATGATGAAACATCAAATCATTTTTATAATATTTTAATTGACAATTAATATAATTATTGAATACTTGGTAAAAGCAATAACCAAATATTCATTTTCGTTTGAAATGCAATATAAATATTACCTTTCTTTTTACGCTTAGCAGGTTCAGGTTTCATAGAAGAAATACTTTGTTTTAATTCACTGCATTCTAAAAGTAACGATTCTACCTAACAGGAAAATATTAATATTTGAAACATAGTTTTACTCAAAAATGAATTCATGTAAACTATTAAAGCAGTCTACTACAGTCAATAAGAAAATATCACAAGAAAATTAGGGATAAATTTTCTATTAATAAGCAAGTAGTACACGAATATCAGAAAAAATAATCAATCAATATTATTTTAATCAAGGAAAATATTGAATACTTATTCTTACTTGATTATCTTTATACTGCAGAATTTCTTGAGAAAGTTTCATCAGCGTTCGTAGGTTATGTACATCACCAATCTCATCGACGTCGCAACTGATTATAGTAGGATATAAATCCTCCATATCATCATCCGTCAATGACGATGGATCTGCAGTTAATATTCGTTCCCAATCCGTCCGACCCATTTTTCCACTTTATCTTATCAATTGCCACTGTTATAACCACACAACTTGTACCCAAATGAATTGTTTGACGTTTGCTATTGAAGACAACTCACGGTTGTCATGGTAACTCTGTTGTGACACTGAAGATACCTGTGATCAGTTACAAACTTATAAAGCGCGCATATTTAAACGTTGGAAATGGCGTTTATGGTACATAATACTGCAGAAATAAACTTTTTATTAATTAATGAAGGGAGCTTTCAAAGCTATACTAAAAATGAAAAATAAAACTATGTTTTACACGTATTTTTAAAAAACGAAGTAGCAGAATCAGGATAAGATCTAAAAAAGATCAAATAGATAATGTAAAAAAAAAGTGTATAAACGATTCATCAATGAATTATAGATTCATGAACTCACAATTTAATTCACATTCAACGATAGATATTTTGCAAATGAAAAACGATATACATACATACATACATAGTTCAGCTATCAAACAATTCAGGAAAATTTGAAACGATATCAAACTAGAATTCATTTGAATTTTCATACAACGTTGGTCAATGTGCTACCCCATGAAACAACGAACTGTAACTACCAGAATAAAAATGGAAATAGAATAAAGACAGGAAGACTGTAATAGGAAAAAAAAGTAGAAAGAACATTTAAAAGTAAGTAAATTTGTAGACCTGTCTGTTACATGAAATGACAAACAACTACCTTCTGGAACATAGCCTTAACATTAAGCATTCGTATAACATTTACAATTATTCCTTAACGTATTATCAACGATCATGGCTTAGACACCTGTCTTGTAACCTTTCAGTAGCGATAATTAGCCATGAATAAAATATGGTATCGGAGTGTACATACTATGACATTGCCTTGGTTTCCCTTGCAGATGTTCTTTGGTACCCGGCAAAATGGAAGAGTTTCAAAATGTGCACTACACCTACTTTAAATTATTGTACATTCTTGGCCTCTGGCCCTATCACGATACTATTCGATCCAAGATTAAAAGACTCGTTATTTTGATACTTACGATCAGCTGTATAGTGATTCAGGTGATAAATATTTATACTTATATCGGTAGATTTAGTGGTTTGAAAATAAACAATGAAAGATAGAAAAATTTATTGTCTAGAATAAATTTGTCTGTTTCTACGTAATATAGTTAGTAGAAAAACTCAAAAACAATAGTAAACGAGGGCGACAAATTCTGTAAAATATTGCATATGAAACATTGTGCTTCAGTGAAGATTACCAATTTGTTTTTACTCGAGGAACCATAACATTTCTCCTTGTTGCACATTTCTGACCAACTGTACTGACAGATATCGTTTTTTTTTAAAAATAAATGAAATATTTTTCAGTATTCATCTCTGACAAACGCAGAAAAGACTTTAGAAAATGTACTTAAGACACTATCATTTAGCTGTCCGATGATTCTATTCGCTTTGCGATACTTTGCTTTAATTCGAGGATTCCCAATGGTAAGTTACGCGTGGTAGTTTTTTCGGTTGCGCGATAATCGTGCGTACCACAAATGCTATAGCTATTAAATTGTAACATTATAACCTTATGAATTTCTTTTCATTTGGTTTTAGATAAAAATGATATTTACATCTATAGAAAATGATTTGAAGACATTTAAAGATACAATCGAAATAGATTTTTTAATAGAACGCATGGGAAAGTCGAGAGATTTGTTTAAGTGTTACTTATGTAAGGACGTTTAACAAATACCTGTTTAAAACGATCATAATGAAATGGCAAATTAAATTGTAATTTCTGCACACAAATAATTTAGAAATTAATATGCAAAAAATAACATGTTTTATTCCACAGTTTTCGTGCCAATTCATTTCCTACAATGATTCCCGATTTTAGATATATTGTCTGCAGTATCGATAACAATGATAATAACAGTGATTCCTATAATGGCAGTACAGAAATATCACGTCGAATATCTTCGATATTGTGGATTTTATCATAACGAGGCAGGCTTAATAACCGTTGGGATGTTAATGCAGATTTTAATTGTATTTGTGGTTGGTGCATTTTGTGTGTTAGCATCAGAATCACTGGTCAACGTCACTGCCTACTACATAAGCGGATTATTAAAAATTACAGCGTATGTTCAACATACTGTTCGCAAATTTACGTTGGTAAAAATTTGTATATCATACTTACATCTATGAATCTTACATTATATTTCATAACATTGATGTGTGACATTATTTTAACGATTCGATAAATAGATGTATATAGGAACTTTGTTCGTTTCTACAAAAACGGTTTGTATAAATTAGAATATATTTCGGACACTTTTAGATAAACTTTATTCGATATATTTGATTTTAATTGCCCTTATACTGACGTTTTTCTCACAGCTGAATAATCATATTTATAGTATGAAAATCACATAGAAATCTTGTTTCACCATTTTCATGTCGAAGTACTGAATATAACATTATGCATAAATATAATCTAAATAAATTGCCTTTTATCAAATTTATACATGTACTTCGATACGTCCTAATTTTCTAACTAAGTAGCAAGTTAAAAAATTTTTTTTAAGAAAGCCTGCAAGTATAATACTGTAGCAGTTTATTATCAGTGGTTGTCTATATTTTAAAACTGTCTTGTTTGAACTTTCAACAATAAAATAAAGTATCAGCTATTTCTTACATCTCCAGTTACCAACTACAAACCAAACTTCACAATGTAACGACATCAGTTACGTCCCAACTATTAAATATTCGTACAACTATGGACATACACCAGCGCGCCATTAGGTTAGTATATTCATTTAAAAATGAGGACTGTATCGACAAAGCGTATTTCATAATTGTTATACAATGTATTTCATTAATTTCGTTTTAACGTTCGTGAACGCACGGAAACATTACAAATTCACCAACAAAGGATTAACGACACTTTCATAACCACTACGAAGATACATTATTTAGTAACAATCATAACAGTTATCATTTCGTTCTCCCTGAATTTGTGCAATGTGAGTGTTACTACAATTCATTAAGAAACATCCATGAATCAGACTTGATAATTATTCTACTTTTCTTTTATGTTCAACAGGTTTGTGTGATACTTACGAAAAGCCAGCAGCTGGCCGGAGTAATAGTTCCACTACTAATTCTGATATCGCATATAACAATTTTATTTTTGAGCAATTATTGCGGGCAGATAGTGATTGACACTAGCAACGAGCTCTTTTATGACACGTAAGCTCTGCATTTTCGTTTAACGAGGAATGGAAATTCAAAAACTGCGGATCTCGACAGAAACGAAATTGGATTGATTCGCAAAAATGGAATTATTCAATTATTCGATTTAATTATTTGTGAAGGTAGCTTCCCACACTCCGCCAATAGAGGGCTACGTAGAGCTAAGAGCCTTTCTCGCTTCTGCCCAGTGCTTCATGACTTGCATATATACTATCTATAAACCTCTAACATTCGTCTCACTGTCTAAGGGACGGTACCGTCAGCTGATAGGAAACTGGCACTCGTGACGTCATAGGGGCGGATAACAGTCGCTCCGAGATAACCAATTGTGAGTCCGTAAACGGCTCTCCCCATTTTTTCTCGCGCGAACCGAATTAGTGTGCGTAGCGCCACGGTCAAAATCATATACCAGAAACAGAACATTCGTGTGGGGAAGGCGGAGCGCGTTTGAATCTGACCATTCGGACGAGAGTGCCAGGTTCGCTGCAACAGATGGTGTGGTGGTAGTTAGTTACTAGAAGAGAGAGAGAGAATGTCTTTACTGGACGAGTCCCCCCACTGGTGGTATATATAGAGTGTCCTGCTCTCACGTTAGCCAAGCCGACGACCATAAGTATAAAAGTGCACGGGCAAAGAGGACCTCTTTCACTCACGATGCTTAGGCCGGTCTTCTCGGCTTTCGACGCATGGTTATTTATTAGCACGCGACAAATTTTCCTCGTAGATCACGGACGAAACGCTCTCTCCCTCTGCCTTAAGAACTTTTCACAGACCGCTTCATACTCAATTTAATAGATTAAATCCGATTAATTTAATAGTTCCGTTATATTAGTCCAATTTAATAGTCCATTAGCACGTGCTGTACCGTTTTTTTAAGACTTTCTGTTCAGGCCGCGTGGGGCGTATACGACCCACACTCTTACAATCAAATGAAATTAAATAAATGCAGTATACATGATATTAAGATGCCTATATTTGACTCAACAATAAATTTTTTTAAAATTCTTCGTTTTTCAATGAGAATTCCAAGCGGCCTGAACGGAAAGTCCAGCGTGAATCGTATACGCCCCACGTGGCACGGAACCTGTTAATGGCTAATTATGATGTATGAAATCCCAAACGTAGCACGTATCATATGGAACTAATGAGACAAAACTGTTAAATGATGCAGATACAGTTCAATATGGTACTCCGTACCAGTGAAGATGCAGAAAATGGTATTATTCATTTTAATGAAAACTTTGAGTGTACTGGAAATTAACTTTTCCAATTTATACGTTGCAGGTTTCGAAGGATTCTCGATGGTAATTAATCACGATCAATGCATTTCGATACGAGTCCACCGATCACAGAATAAAGAAGTTTTTTGTTTCAGATCATCAGTTCATCATTTTCATATTTCACTGTACTTTACTCGACCCAGTAGAACGTAATGAAGCAATGTTTGAGAGTACAATCCCAACAATAATTTACAATTTTTTACACTTATGAAGTATGAGAATTTCCAAAAAATACATCAGAAAACAAAAGTAGAAATACGATTAGTATTTGATACTATTTTGATTTAGTTTTAATTTGCTGAAATCATTCGTGAGCTTGTACCCGCGATTGCTCTATTTTCTATGTGAATCAATATATTCACCTATATTACTCTACTAGAGATTCACTCTATTTATCAGAAGATACTCTAAGATTGAAGTGGGTAATGTGCACCATTAGACATACGAGGTATAACTCTACGGCAATGACCCTCTGGCCATTGTTCTTAAATACCGACATCTATAAGAAATGCTCCAGTACACTGGTAGACTCTATCCAAATTAAACTGTCAGCTACCGAACCACATAAAATTCTATACTTTTACGTCATAATTTTCAACAAACTAATAGTCACGTTTATATAGTAAGCAGAGTTCAATGCATGGCACCGAAAGTTATTTATTGATATCTCAGAAAGTAAAAAATTACCTGAAGGGAAATTAAATTTGGAGTCTTCCCACTATCTGCTACAACCCCTCAGAATTTCCTGTTAATCGGCAAGAGGAGTTCTTTGGAACAGTATCCTATTAAATAATCATACGTACTTCATTATATATTAATATACCACTAATCATTGAATTAAAAGAAAGTAAGCATCGGTAAATTTAATGCAATCATTGTTTGTTCTGTTTTTCTTCAATCGATTCATTAAACATAATAAAACGTGTACACCTAAGAGAGATTTCTATTTCACTTGTATTTAAATACAAATGTAATACATATATGTTAAGACCATATATATATGGTTTATATTTCAACGATTTATAAAATAGAAATTATAATAAACTTTAATACGATTTTAATGTACTTTCAATTTAATATCAGTTCCTTGAAACGTTACCATAGAAACATTGCTCATACGATGAAAACATTACAGTCACTTATAAAGTGATAATTTCATTGACAGCCATAATCACAGCTGATCTTCTCCATGATTTTTCAAAGGGATGTCATGCCTTTCAGAAAATTATATGCTTGTTCGTGTCGGTTCATTCAACTTCATATCACTGTGATACAAATTTACTGCGAATCTTTATGCAAATTCAAATATTTAAAGACATAATTAGAAAAATAGAATTACGGTGGAAAATAGTTTTTCTTGAAAAACTACTATGAAAAGCGTTGCAGTTTGAATATTTCATATATTTCTTTGTATTGCGTGCATTTTGTACAATTTTTCACTTCCAAAACTATCACTCACGACGAAATTTAACAATCACTTTTGCCATTTCCTTATAATCAATCTTCGACTGTTCAACGCCCTATGTTCACTAACGATCAATCGACAACAAACGAATCACCGAACAACCTACGAGAACTCGTGAATTGAAATTTCAAATTGTATTTGAAAACACTGATTAATAAGCATCCAGGAATATTCGTTCGCAGGCTCGTCTCGTTCGATAAATTCTTAAACAGTTAACTGCGTTTGACGAATATAAACGTCACCTTACAAAACTTTTCTTTTTTACTTTTATTCTTTCAGATAAATACGTAATTCTCCTTTGTTTTGCTTCAATTTGTCGTTCGAATATTGTAGGAAGTTTGGTATTGTTGGTGATAATTAATGTTCAGAACACTCAAAGTCGATAACAGAAACGGCAACAAAACAGTTTATCAATAAACTTACACCCTTCTCACTTGCACCCCAATCTTTCGTCCAAGATCAAAATTCACGCGATCACGTACACGCTTCATTTTCACCGTTCCAATTGCTCTGTCCCAGACACTCTTCTCTCGTGCTTTTCCAAGCACTCGATTTTTCCACACACAGTCACCCATATTTCCAAACAAACCGGCGCTATCCTGTTGCAAGGCGACACCGGCCACCCACAGGCCACAATAAGAGATTCTTGAAACTAAATTCCACGATTAACAGGTTAATCGATCGCGAAGCGATATTACATTAGAATTCATGTGGCTTTTCACACGAAAAGGTATTGCGGAGCGAACAAACAGTCAGAACCTCCAGATGGACTGAAAAGGAATTCCGCGTGGTTCACTTCACGCTCGTACAATTTTCTTTCTGTCTATCGCGCTATAGACGGGAAGACGAAAGGGCTTGAACTGAAAGAATGATTGCGTAGTACGTCATTATCCTGTCACGTGAGATGACAATAAAGGCATCATATAAACCATAGTCTTTTCATTATCCATATGATATGTGAAATTTGTGTGTAACATATTATAGTCAAATTGGACAATAGACAGCTGTCGTATCACCTGCCAATGCTGACAGACCAACTTGAATAAAATATTGTATCGAGGTGTACTCTAACGGTATCTCGGCCATTTCTGGCAAACGCTCACCGGTGTTCTCAAGATGGACGAGTTTCAAAATGTCTATGATACCTTTTATAAGTTGATGTACATCACTGGCATCTGGCCTTTCCACAACGATATAATTAAGAGAATCGGCTTTCCTATTGTGATAAGCAGCTGTATGGCGTTTCAGGTACCGAATATTTTATTTAGAAAATTTGATTTTTAAAGTTTTAATGTTCACAATAGTATATTCAATATCAACAACAGTTTTGTAATATTCTTTTATTTTTCAAAACGAAGTATTGTTTTTAATAGTGCACAGAAAGTTGCTTCTATTTCAACTGCGATGTGTCGGAAAAATTCAAGAATTTATAGATTAAAATACCATCATAAACGAAATGCTGTGAAATATTATATGTAGATATGGTTTGAAAATACCATCGGTTTTTTACGTACTTTATCATTTTCAATTGAACTCAACGTACCATTGAATTTGAATTTGAAATATTTTTCAGTATTCGTCTTTGATTATGGGAGATGAGAAATCAATGGAAAATATACTTAAGACAGTATCATTTAGCGGTCCAATGGTGATATTCCTTATTCGATACGTCAGTTTTGTTATTAAAATCCGGACGGTAATAGATGAACACTAGCAAATTGATTGTAGCCGTTTTATGGCACCGTTATAACCATATGGATTTCCTTACATGTGGCTTCAGATGCACAATTTGTTTCTAATGATACAAGACGATTATGATAAGATAAAAGACACCATAGAAGTGGATTTGTTAATGGAGTTCACGAATGGAGCGAAACAATTGCTGATGTATTATATACGTAAGGACATATAAGAAGGAACATAACTAAATATAGTTCAAATTTAATTTTATCCTAATTCAATCTATTAGCAATAACATTTGTTGCGTTTTATTCATTCATTTCCTGCAAAGATTATCGATTTTAGGCCTAGTGTCTCTAGTAGCTGGGTTAATGGCCATAGCTATGCTCCCTATAATAGTACAAAATAAATATCAAGCTAGTTACCTTCGATACTTCGGATTTTATTACCAAGAATCAGGATTAATGACCACTTGGATCTGCTTACATGTTCTATTTGTGTTTGTGTTTGGCATATTCTCCGTATTAGGAACGGAAACAGCGTTCGGCGTTGTTTCCTACCACGCAAGCGGACTATTGAAAATCAGTGGGTACGTTTGAAATCATTATTACGAACTTCTTTGTTCTACTATAGAAAATTCGATATATGATAAAGATTCCAATGTCGATTGACGTTTATATTTCCAGTTACCGTGTGAAAACCACAGTTGAGAATCAGGCGAAATCAGTTAAGTCGAATCTAATAAACATTCGTCCAGCTACAGAACTACACCTGCGTGCTATCGAGTTGGTATCTTCATTCAAATATTGAGGCAATATCGGTAGTGTGTATCTCATTATTGCTTTATTGCGTGTTTCATTTATCTTGCGTCTATCAACTGTGAATATACGAAAACAATATGAATATGCCGACGAAGAATGTGCGACACTATTATAGATGACTTAGCAATGTCGTATACGTTCACAATATCAGCTGTTGTCGTTTCCTTCGCTCTGAATTTGTGCCGTGTAAGTATCGCTGTAATTCAATGGGAAAGGTTAATATTAAAGATACCGCCAACTGAATGCGACAGATTTGTAATGGGTGATTATTTACAATACTAATTCCTCATCGAGAATGATGACTTTAAAACATGTTGTCAAAGTCATCATTCTGAACAACTTTTCCCTAGATATGTGACCGCCGCTCGGCCTTAGTTTTCCAAATATTCGGAACAACTTTAAAATAATCAAAATGAAGATGAAAATATTCAAACTAACAATCACTTCCCAAAATTATAAAGTTTTGTATATACAGAACAATGGTCTTAACAATATATGTCAAGATCAAGGTCATATGAAGGTTATTCTTTTCGTAAATAAGAACGAAAGCGGTTTGTAAATAAGAGCGCCGATAACATGTATAGGAAAAAGTTGTTCAGAATCAAGTCCCCCATGACATATTTTAAATATAATTAAAAAATGTGGTGTAAATAATTACCTTGTAATGTTTTGTCAAACTTACAAGAGTTTTTTTATTAAAATATTGCGTGAATTTGATTATAAGTATATTAATTGATAAACCTCTTTAATAAATTTGTAAAAAATAGTATAAATTTGTACAAAATGGTCTGCATATATATAAAAACATCTTTAGATGACAATAGTTTATTTAGTCTATATATTTTGAAATTTGAGTAAACCTGGTAACAAAAAACATAAATGGTTCACCGTAACTCATCTGGTATATCAATAAATCGAATTTGACAATTCTAATACTTCCTTCTGTCGAATTAAGTGTGACAATATTCCTTTTCTTCATTTTAATGCGTAATACAATCAATTCTCCTAGAGAATTATAAGTAAATTGGGTTGGAGTGGATCAGTAACATCCAGTTTTATTTAATTGAATGTACTGTGCAATTCGAAAGGAAGTTACACTCTGTTTGTAGGTTTTTTCCGTGGTCACGGAAGGAAATAAACTGGACGAAGCAGTAGTTCCTACGTTAATTCTGATAGCACACTTTATATTGGCGTTCATGACTAATCACTGTGGACAGGTAGTGATTGATACTAGTACTGAGGTTTCTCGAGACATGTAAGTCTACATTTTCATTCAGCCACCTGTCTTAAGACTTCTTTCATAACTGCACTCATCAGAATATTTTTATCATTAATAATTTACACGAAGAGAAAGGAATTCGACTGTCCTTGTAAATCCACACGGTAGTCATTGAATATTGGTAACAAGAATATGGTACTGCACTTTAATCGCAATAAAATTAACGATATTCAGGTTTGTTAAATTAAATTTAAAATCTTCGTCACGCGAATCTCACGCGATACTATAAATCAAGGAATTAACGAAAAGTAGAAGTTTATACTACAGAGCTAGTTAGTAATCAATCAAATCGGTCCAATAGATGTAGAATTATAATTCACAGTTTTATATTAATTGAATAAGGTAACATTACTGATAATTTGAAATCAATTTACATATTGGGAGATAATTTCATATCGATTAATTAATCAATCAAAATTCATTTAATCGATTACATTAATCAATTAATTGAAATTGGAATTCAATAGTGAACCAGTTAATTTCAATTGAAAAGTGAATTCAAAGTTGCACTTCCAATACATGGATAATCATTCATTATAAGGAGCTAATACAACAAAACCTATAATTAACACAGATACAATGCATTATGGTACTACGTGCCAGTGAAATCGCAGAAGTTGCTACTGTTCCTTATGATGAAGACTTCGGACGTATTGCAAATTGATATCGCCGGTTTGTACATCGCAGGTTACGAAGGATTTTCGATGGTAATTTATTGCTACGACACTGTCCTCTAAATACTGATCCTTTTTGAAGCATTTTTCTAGATAAAACAATGTTCTCTTTGTTTCAGATGCTCAGTTCCTCATTTTCATATTTCACAGTTCTTTATTCGACCCGTTCGTAAATTATGAAACATCTCTTGAGACAGTAACTATCATAGTACCTTGGATTTTGCTGCACTTACAGACTATATTCTTCTTATTAATATAGGGTAATTCCGGGTGAGATGGCTCGATCTTATTTAGACTGTCAAATATCTATATTTTCGATTGTTTTCAGTGGCGTACTGAATCAGGCATAGAGGTCAATTATTCTTCTTATACATATGTAGTTTTATAAATATAATTTTTTTCTGTTATGACGCAGTAAAAAATATAACATTTTTCAAGCGAGCTCAACAGAAGGTCCCTTAGCGTCTGACATTCTATAAACCAGGGGTTCTGGACATATGTACATAGTATAGGATCTAGTTAACTTAAAAAAACGATGTCCAGACCTCTGGATTTATGCAGGCCTTGGGTTTTTCCGTTACACGTCACGTTATCATTGTAAGGGAGTATGCAGCACACCCCCATTCAAATTTTTCCCAAGAGCGGTATACCAAAAACGCCACCGAGAAGGACCAGAAAAATTCAGAAACCGGCAGAGCGCAACGAGACAGCGAAATCCGAGAAACATTCATTCATCTGTAACCGACTACGAATATTAAAGTTTGCATTAAACATCATTAAATTATATATTCTGAAGTCACGTCTTCCTCTCCTACGAATAAAATTCTTCTATTACAATTAAATTTGCGTTGGAGGTGAGCATTAGAGAACGTAGAGCTCATATCGCGTCGCGAAACTTTGCTCACGCCGTAACAATACCAATGATATTTATGATGTAATAGTTGTCTCAAAAAAAGTAGGCCATCTCTCCTTGACTTACCCTAGTAGCTACTAGGAATGTAATTAATTGAAGCTAATCTAGAGTCATCACTGTACTTCCGATCTGTCTTATTACCCATGTTAGACTCTACATTACTCGAGTATGTATTTAGGTACATTAGTGTCACCCGCGCAAATAAAAACGTGAATTAAAATTCCATGCATGGATCAAGTATCGGCCGATTACTAAGAGCTAGAGAGGCACAATAACAAAGGGAATCATTCAACACCAATGTTCTGCCAAAGCCAATATTCTATCGGTGCATGGTAGATAGTGTATGATAATATAATACAGTGTTATGTCTGAGATAAAAATCTTCTTCTTATGTGTACATAGTAAGAGACAAATTTAAGATCTCGTCACCATAAATGTTTAGTCAAATTCAATAAACAGAAAGCATAATGTTACGCATTTTGTTTTATGATTATTCTTGTCGAGAAAATAGCTAATGATCAAACTGTATTTGCCAATGAAATATTCTGAAAGAATTTCTTAGCAGAAAACGTAACAGAGGATTCGTTAAAATTACTTGTCAAATAACACTACAGAATGTCAATAGATCTTCTAGCAAACCCGAGAACCTAGGATATTTAGTAACTAAAATTTTTTCCTTAATTCAACTTCAATTCTTGATGTTAGGTTTACCCAACGATCAAATTGACTGTGTCGTACTTTCTTAAACAAATCATCTACAAAATGTCACAATCCAAATAACTAACATCATTTTGACCATTTGAATATAGACAGTTTCGAAATTGGTGCATGCAGAAATTTTACATTATTATTTTGTAGTACTAATAGAATCAAAATAATAAATGCTAAAAATTACTTCAAATGCAAATTATACAGTGAAAAAAATCGTGAGATGAAAATTGGTAACAATTATTCACTATAATTGTGAACGATATTGGTTGCCAGGAGGAAAGTAAAGACATCGCGTGTATTTTGATTTTTTGTGACACAGTATTCTTTGTTCCTTTTATTATATAGACAGTGTGCTCCTCGACATTACAGGACTTTTTCTGTCTTTCATAGGCGCTAATAACCGAGAGTTGAGTGAGAATAACTGATTTTTCTGTATTGCAGTCGTATAATCAAGTATTCAGGTGAGGCAGCTGTCTTCTACCGCGCACGGTAGTTAAATCAAATAACACGAATAAAATAGGTCGACTAAACGCACTTTCAAAGTGTCTCAGAGTCTACCGTGCAGACGTTTTTCATCTACTTGACGAGTATAAAAAACTTGATACTCTTTATTAAAGTACAATGGGCTACATTGGTCTCTGGTCATTCCACGACGACCTTCTATCGAAAATTGAAAGGATGGGTCATCCTGTCCTTGCAATGAAGTTTGCAATGAAGCCTGATAGAACAAATAATAAAAATTCTTTTTATAACGGGATATTTTCTAATCAAAGGTTACGCGTCTTTACACGGATGGTATGATTTCATATAAATTGCGATGCCAGTAAATAATACACAGTGTAGCAGTAAGTTTACAGTAAGTGAAAATAAAAGTTAGTAAAATTTGAAAACGTAAAAAGCTGATTTTTATTGAATTCTATTCAAATGAAAGATTGTATTTTTTGTAGTTTCAATAATCATAATAAGACCAAACTTGATCGTATTCAAAAGATTTGTCGTTAGGCATGTCGCTATAATAACATTTATAATTGTTTAAAGTTCGGGTATTAAAAAAAAACTGTGATTAATACTTCCCTAAGTTTGTAGTCTTGCACTGTGCAAGATGGAACATTCTTTCTAAATATTTTACTTTGCATTATGTCATACAACAGACGAAACAAATTTAAAATTCGCAACCACTAGCTCGGTATTACTCTTAATTTTTCAATAAGAATACACCTTTTAGTACCTTACGTCTTTTAGTACCTTAGTCGAGCTTGCCACGAGGGATACCAAGAAAGGTAAATGGAAACTGAATTCCATCGATCTCCTATTCTTATTCTGGATCTTATTAATAACGTACTTGCAATTAATATTAAATCACTTGGTGAATATTTTCTTTCCTAAGGCTGACTTATGACTGTAACAGATTTCTAAAGTGATTATAGGATAATGGTAATTAATCGCATTAAAATTGAATAAAAATTAAATTAATAAGAAATCAATATTACATTAAAATTAAACTAAAATGATAATAAATTTAAGTTAGAATAAGATTACGCTGAAATAAAGTTAAAGTAAATCTGCGAATAAATTCAATCCGAATTCATGTTGAAATAAATGGAACAGAAGTGGAAGATGGAGAAGCTGGTGAAGAAATTGTTACAGTAAAAATTAAGATTCAATTAAAATTAAGAACAGCAATAACAGAAAAATTTAACCGAAATTTTTATAACCAACGGCGATCACTTAATACGGAATAGCTTGAATCCATTAAGCATTGCATAGTAAAGACCACCGAAAATATATGTAAATATAAACGAAAAAAAAATGCGAATGTCTATTCACGATTAATGAACAGATAATACTTGCCGTTCGAGGCCTAATCTTTGCAGTTGTGAACGGCAAAAATCAAGAGAACGTTGTGTATAGTAGTGTACGTCCCATATCTCGAGCTCATTACGAAATTCATTGCTGGGTCGAGCACTCGGATGCTCGCGAGCTCTAGAATATCATATTGTATGTAAATAACAGACTGTAGATAATGTCGTACATTATCGTGACGGTCTTACGAGCGACACTTATTCACGATGATACTCAGTAAATTGTCGGCGCGATCGGGAATCACTAGTGTGTCTTTCATTTCGAATGCAGTGAACGGAAACACGTGGATAAAAAATGGGCGTTGTTTACACTTTACGTATCACGAGGAGAAAAATGGGAACGGCAACGGTAAGTGTAAATAAAATGTCTTTCGACCGGAATGTGTCGTGATTATGGAAACCAACATAATGGCAGAAGGTTGTTTAATTCGAATCAATGTTGCAATACTACATCACAAGATAATATATTTGTGCTGACGAAAATATTTGGAGATATCAGAAAATAATGGAAGACTATTTATTAGTTGGTCGATTATGTCACGAAGTGTATTTAATGTTATTTGAATGCTTCATAGAATTTTCTGCTCTCATTTTTATGGATCCATTTATTTTAACGCTGATATTGTTTCTTTAGTGTTCACTGGACGTTTTGAAATGATTAAATTGAATATCATTGCTAAGTTTAATGATGATTTTCCTGTTGTTATTTAATTGGTATTTGGTAAGTTTAGAAATTAGGTACATATAAAATAATCTTTTCTTTTGTCTCTTACTACTCATTTTTTTGACAATAAATCTGTGTGCGTCTATTATATCTGATATTCGATTGGTAAATTTTATAGACATCAATTTGGACTTTGTTTATAATTTCTTTGAGTCTGTTAAATACTATACATATAATCACGGCGACTTTAAAGATGTTGTACGTAATGTAGGTGTACAAAATTTTATACGTAGGTACATAAAGTATCAACGATTTTATTTCAGGTGAAACTAAAAAAATGAATATGTGTCAAGCTATCAATGACGGTCTTCGACTTGTGTTAACAAAGGATCCTACGGCAGGTAATTTTTTCATTGCAGCCATATGTTCCAACTTTACTTAGAGAAATACAAAATTTATTTGCAATAAATCCTGTAGTGGTTTTATAAGGTCATAACGAAAATATTAAACTTTACTCTTTCTCTTATCATTTAAAAATATGAAAAATTAATATTTGCGTTATTGTGTCTTATATGATAGATATCTTGCTAAATATGAAATAATATTTCATCAATTTTGATTCATGACCAGTGATATTTGGAGAGGATGTAGCATTCGGTGGCGTTTTTCGATGCACGGTCGATCTTCAAAACGAATTCGGCAAAGGGCGCGTTTTCAACACGCCTCTTTGCGAACAAGGCATCGCTGGGTTTGGAATTGGCTTAGCTACAATCGGTGTAACAGCGATTGCCGAGATTCAGTTCGCTGATTACATATATCCCGCATTCGATCAGGTATATAATATCTTCATTATTCTTTTTTCGTTCAAAGTATAAGAAATTCATAAGTGTTCTATCATATTGTTATTTGATTTATAGTCTAGTGTAATATTTAATGTTAAAATTTTGAAATGAAAATTAAATACGATTGTTGATAGTTCCGTTGATTAATTCATACTTTACTATCAGTTGGTAAACGAAGCTGCCAAATATAGATATAGAAGCGGCGGTGAATTCGACTGCGGCAAATTGACCATTCGTACACCTTCCGGAGCTGTCGGTCATGGTGGACTTTATCACTCGCAAAGTCCAGAAGCATATTTCGCACACACGCCAGGCTTAAAGGTGCGCAATAATCACTGCAATGATAATTTTATTTAAATTCTCAGTAAATTTTTGTTTCCATACATTATTTGATGAAATTTATGAAAATGGTAAAATATGTATTATAAGTGAAATAAGTTTAGCAATTTGTATTTTACATATGTCAGTATAACCTAAATGCATAAACGTCTGCGGGAAAGATAAAAATTTTTAACTTGATATTTTCTACACCATATTAAAGATTTTATTTAAATTATAACTCTTATCGCAGTACAGTAATTAAGGATTATTAAAAACATTCCTTATTGTAAATATTCATATTTATTGCAAATTCTGAAACACGTGGAGAAAAGAATTGGTGTCATCTGTGGTAAAAGCTACCAAACTGGTATTAGACATATTCTATTGCTAGATGGCACCACCTGATCTTTCGGGAACACGTATCATTGAGAAATTAATTACAATTAAATGTCAATTCGAATGAAGTGTAACCATGGCTACATTTCATATCTTTTATCTTCCACAGATTTGAATTTTAGTTCATTAAAATCAGTTTCAACCCCTTCAAATTTGGAAATGAAATTTTAGTTCAGGTGTTTTATCATAGATGGCAATATAAGTCCATTTCACTACTGATTGATGCTTCCAATATAATAAAAAATTATTAAAAATTTCCCTATTTTTCTATAAAAAATTCTGATTATGAAAAAATGTTTAAAGTGAATATTTCTTATTAATGTATTAAAATAATATTAATTAGACTTTCACAGTAACTTTTATTATTATCGTGTTCAACAAAAAATGTAGAAAAAATTTGCAGAAATGTTCTTTAGTATCTACAATCAGTTAGAAATTTTTCAAAACGTTCATAGACGATAAAATAGAGGGAAATAAACGAATATTTTATATTCCAAATTTAACTACTTTCCTAGTCGAACGTTCGGTTAAAAGTTCGTATATATTATTTCTGCTCGATAGACAATAAAACAGTTTGTCGTCGGGTTAATTAAAAAAAAACTAATTTAACAACAATTTTAATCTATCCAGGTATATCCTTTACCTGCAGTATACAATCGTCACTTTATTCTACTACACTTTATAACATACACTTCATAATAATATCCATCATTTTAAATTCTTCTCTTCTAAATACCTATTTTATCATATTCTAGGAATTTTCATTATTTTTCTTTACACGACCATTTACTCCCAAATTGAGCGCACGGCGAAGTGAAGCTAAAGAATGCGAGTAAAAAGAAGTCAGTGTGCAATGACGAGCGCATTTCTACGCCCAAGGATACACTTCGCGGCGCTAGGTTGCGTGTCGTCTATAGTCACCGGCTCATAACTTTCTGGAAGAGATTCCATGAATATTGTACGACACATGTACTCCGCGTATGCATGAAGAAAGTTTTGCCTCACGTACACAAAGCGCCATCGCGCCGCGCCGGCCACTATACATCCCGATTACGCGAACAGCCCGCCGCGCAACATTGCGCCGACATTTCCTGAAGCTAAAAGATCGCACGGTCCTCTTCAATAGAGCACACCTGGCATGGAAACAAAGATAGAACCTAACGAAACCCGGCTACGCGTTTATTCATCAGCCGTGTCAGGCGCAACGAAAGCTCGCGGCCATTTTCCCGAAACTTGCAGCCTTATTCGCTGGAGCGAGCACTCCCTCATATTTCTCTCAACCACCCCCATTCGTCTTTCCGCGGTCACGAGTGCTTACAGCTGACGAGATGTTAAGGAATATAATAAAATTTTAGTGATAATGTATATATATTCTCTATTCAGAATAATTTGTAAAAGCTTAGAGACTGATGCAATAAAACGATGGTAATTAGAAAGGAACCTAACTTCAAACGGTATTCATAGTTTGCGATTTTAATAGATCTAGTCACATTGCTTTATTCTAAAGCTATCTTACTTATGTCTTCTGATATTTACGTTTGGTTGATAATATTGTTCATAACATTGTTATTAAATTTAGCTTTTAGATGTAAAGTTACTGATTCTAAAATCGTTAGAGAAGAAATATTAGATTCTTGATAGTTTTGGAAGATCTAATAACCAGTCTCTCGATTGACGAGAAAATTTGACATCTTGAAAAGTGCGTGTATTGTGAAGTTAGGAATAATGAATTGTTGGAAGATTAGTAGAAAAATATTGTTAATACTTTGAATGAAAGCAAGGGTAACTGTGGAAATACCTACATGAAAGGTTCTCTTTCGCGGACTTTTAAAGAGGTACATTCTCTGTTCATCGACTAAATGACAAAAACGATGGTATTTGATAAACGTTTCCAGGCCAAGCAAAGTTCGTGACGTTCAATTCGTTTCTTCTAGTCGGAACCTACGAATTTCTTGAGGTGGTCGCTCCTAGAACACCGCGTGACAAGTTTAACCGGATACGGGACGCCTAAAAAATGAATTTTCTACTGCCCCTTGCTGAGACACGGCCATTTCGAAAGTATTCTACCACGATTCGCATAAATTCTATTCGGTTAAATATCTGCATACGGAGTGTTCATAAACTTGTAATGCACAAGAGTAAGAAAAATACAGAAAGTTCACTTGTTTCACACTTACATTAATTCAGAAAATTCTTTAAACAGAAATGGACAAACACAGTTTCTACGCAAAATATAAAATCTGCTTTCCATAGAATATTGTGGACTAAAATTTCCGTAACCATATTCATACCTAACCAGTAAAACCAAATATTTTTTTTCTTATTTCATACCTTCCAGTTATTTTATATTTCATCACTCCGATTAATTCTTCAATGGAAATTATACGAATTCGCAGATTACAGGCGGAAGAGCTGAAGTCCTTTTATCCAGAATCTGCCTCGACCACAATACTTTCCGAATAATCACCTTACGTCAGGGATTACACTTTCTTCCATAATGTTCATTCCTAATACGAAAGGCCTAACAGCCGTGCAACGTATTACGTCACCGGCGAAGATGCCATTTTCCTTACGCATTAACCGTAACTACGATCGCTCTTATGACACGAATACTTTCGAACATGTAAAAGGTCAGTCATCGTTCGACCTCCCACTTCCCCCCTCGCGCCAGTCGTCCCTCTCAGCGTTCGATAGGTAACGAGCGCGGATAACGCGGAAAAGCTCGATGGCGATAATCTGTAATTCACCGTCCTTTTTGCAGGTCGTTATACCCCGCGGAGCAAGACAGGCGAAAGGTCTTTTGTTGAGCTGCATAGAGGAGCCGGACCCCTGCATCATGTTCGAGCCAAAAATATTGTACCGCATGGCGATCGACGAGGTGCCGACAGCCCATTACACGATAGAGATCGGCAAAGCTGAGGTTGTGAGAGAAGGTGGGCGTACGGAAAGATAGACGGGACCACGGTATAAGTTTTCACTTTCGTGCCCGTGCAATGTACACTACCGGCCAACTGTTTCAGATTCAGTGGTTCCGTTAAATTATACCTCGCTAACGAATTTTCGTTTGCTCCGGAAATAATATTAAATCCCGAGTAATGTCGTTTCTTGATGCTAACTTTTAATATACCGGATTAATAATACTTAAGTTCCTTCTTTCTCATTGTCGGTGTATGGATTACCGTTACGCACGACCTTTCCCCATTTTTCCATTAATTTTTAAATGACATTTCCGAAGACAATGTGGTTTTCCATTAAAAAGTTCGTAAGAAACGACGTTACTTAGGGGAGGACCTGATACTTTCTGAGACAATTATTATCCTCTTGTCTTATGATTATTATTAGAATTATGCTGGATAGATCTTACTTTGTCGTTAATGAGGTTTTAGGCTTACTCGTGTTTTCCGAATTCGAGAGACATGACATTTATATTGTTAAAGACCCTTAACGAACAGCTATTATAATTTAGCAACAGCGCTAAAATAATTACGAAGTTCCAAGTCTTTTTAAACCACATCTGATTTTAACTTTTTCCATTGAACATGAATGTTCATGAGATTACTGGTCGAGTCGATCTGAAAATGTCGAGTTGAAGATTAAATTCTCGCGTTAAATACTCAAATTCCGTGTCAGATTCGAAAAACGCGAGTAGTGCCGGATAAGATGACGAAAATAAAATATCTTCGTACACATAAATACAACAGTATCCAGGAAGTTTTAGGTACGTGATATTCGATTCGACTTGCGTTTCAAATGGACCAGATCATGTTCCTGATACAGTCGTTGACATATTCGGTATTTTTAGGTAACGGAGCGTTCGGTGAACGTGTAGGGAAAATCTTGAAGTAAAACCGTTGGCTAATTTGACGAATTATGTAGTAATGTCACATTTTGTCTGTCACTTAATGGATCACTTAATAGCTGAAATGATTTTCCGTCTGTAATTCTCGTTTCTTGTAAAATAGCTCATGAAAATTGGCGCCCGCAGGTACGAACGTTCTGAGTCCGGCAATTACATTGTGCCGAGTGCTATACTTATATATGCATAAAAGTGATTTCACCTTTCATTGTGTCGTAATTTTAGCGCTGTTCAACTAAACAACGTCCGCTGCAGCGGAACAGTTAACGAACAAGATTTTTCATTTCATGTTTTGCAAAAGTGATTAGAAACAATTGAACGGCAGTATACGCGTGTAATATCGACGTAAATTATTTACATTTTTTCACGTACACGTAACGTGCGTTCGTCGTAACAGCTTTTACCTGTTGGGCTCTAAGTTTCACGTGTTCATCGTTGATGATGGATCAGTGACATTTACAGTCCGGTTTCTTGCCAGTGAATTGAACATGTAAATAATGCGTTACGCGTCCGTAAACGTCAATCCTGCTGGCATTACTGGTGACGAGTGATTTTCACTGATGAAGCTATCACTCGGACGGACTTTATCCAAGTGACAGTCCTCCGGCTGATTATTATTTCCATGGATGAGGAATCTAAGCATTTTTTAGCGATACATCGAGTGTACAACCAGTACAATCTCGAGTAAGTTTTCAATCCTTTGCTAAAATGTTAAATTACATTGTATCACTTGAAGTTTCCTTTAAAACAAACGAAAAATAATTGAACGTTGTCAACTTAATGTTTCATCTAAAGTCAACTAAATGAGATTTTCGTATCAAACAATCACTCGTCACGAAACAAAGAACAAAGAATATTTCAACGTTGTCAATATAATTTTTCGACGTAACCACCTTAATGAAATGTTCATATAGGACCACCACTCGACATGAAACAAAGAACAGAAAATATTTCAACGTTGTCAACATAATTTTTCATTACGAGTATTCTCGTCCAAAAATATCTAACTGGTCAAGGGAATATTCATTTTCGAAACAACCAATTTTATAGGTATACGATACTCGAATGAAAATTTTTGACAAAATTATTCGTAGATACGAACACGTACACATGTTAGAACAAGGCGCACTTCAAAAAGCTCGCAACAATTAATCGGTTAAACGGAATATTCAAATTGATTCAACAGTGTCACCGAAGTCACTGGACACTCTCTATAATCCATATCGGTCGCAATCGTTCTTTCATTATCCAATCGGCCGAGCGGTGCACGCGATGACCGGTACCGAAACAGGATACCCCGTCCGAGGGGGACAAGCGTCACAGAGTTGTCAGAGAGCGATACGCCGGCCGTACGACGGTGTAAGGTGAAACGAGCGAGGCCGTGTATTTACACGTGTGCAATTTCCACGTAGGTGATGCAGTGACACTCGTGGGCTGGGGCACTCAGGTGCACGTACTGCTGGAGGTGGCCGATCTCGTCCAGGAGAAGCTCGGCGTATCCTGTGAGGTGATAGACCTCGTTTCTATCCTACCTTGGGACGCGGAACTCGTTTGCAAGGTAATTTCGTCATTATAATTTGCTCTGTTTTCATGCGTTAATGTAACCGGATCGTTTGCATGCATTACGTTTAAAGCGCGTGCGTTACGCTCGCGCGTATTACGTGGGCCTGTGTCCTTCGCGTAACAAAGACGGAGAGAGGCGGCTACACCCGGCATTTCACTTGGTGCGCACCGTTTATTGGGGAAGAACGGTTTTGTTTAATTAGGGACACGCGACAGAATATTCAAAAGGGCCGTGCATGAGTGGCTCGGTATAATATTAGCCTAACTTTTATATCTGAGCTCTCGGAACGAAAGATTCTGTGAAATGATCTCGATAGATTGAATACTGTTGTTATAATTGATAATATTAATAATTAATAATGATTAATATTCGTACGGTTGCTAATATTAATGATTAGTAATAGTTAATATTATTACAATTATTGACATTAATCATTCATAATAATTAGTATTGTCAATAACATTGGAATATTAGTATTGAATTAATGGAAGAATATTTCCCAAAAGATCTTTTTCTCAAGCATTTTCTTCCGTATTCAATGGAAAATGCATAAAATTGAAGATATGGAAACTCGTAGTTCTGTGAGATGAATTTTGTGGAATAGTTGTCCCGATAATGAAAGTACAAAAAGGAAAGTACCAGAATACTAAGTACCAAGTACTAATACTGGTGCTAAGAACAGATCGATAAGCTAATTTTTGTCTTGATCGATTCAAAAAATGCCTGTTTTTAAATGGTTCCATTGTTGTTTATAAGAACGGTGGTATAATTTAAACATGGAATAATACTTAAAGAATTTCAATAGACGAAGCAAAGAAACTCCGTCGAACGAACAACGAAAACACCGTGTTTCTTTGGCTTTAATAAGTAAGGCCCAGCAACACAGTTATTCGCGAAAACAATAATTTGTCGCTGTCGTAACGATAAAGTAATTTCGCTGGCTGAGGTCAACCAGTCGTTACAGGTCAATAATTCCCGTGGTGTATCAATTACAGCGAAAAAAGAATGTTTATGTCGGTATAACAACTCTGTTCCGTCGTCCTCAAAGGTGCCGTTTCATGCGGCGCGCAACAGAATAATAGAATCGCGTGAAAGGATATTATATTTTACGACTTTTTCACAATAATATCTGCACGAGACGTCGAACAATCGGTTGGTACCCGGATAATGCTTTTTATTGCCGAGCGGGCAGAAACGATGCACAATACGTCCGAGCGTAAAACGAGGTGACGAAATAATGCTCTTGTAAAAGTATCGTCGCAAAAACATTGGAACAAAAAATAAAGCGGTTCCGTGGGTGAATTTTTATAAATCCGGCAACGATAGCGGATCGGCTTTCTTTCGCGGCGATTTCCAAATCTCGTCGAAAAATTTTGAAATCCGCGGAAAGGATTAAACGCCGACCGGGGGATTGTTAAATAATTATGAAACGAGATAAACGCGCGGGGCTTCATTATACACCTCTCCTTATCGATTAATCGATTACTAAAACTTCTCTTAATCTTTGTCGCTAATGAAACGTTCAATTAGTAACACAACAGTATTTTCATTACATTTCTTTTTGACGTTAAGCTGTTGGCAAAGAATTCTTACCCGTCAACATTGACCAATCGCGTGAATGTGTTCCTATTTCGAAACCATCGGTTAAAACTATTATTCGTAATAAATGCGACAAACATAAACAACCGAGAGGAAGGAAACAGAATTGACGAACAGGAAGACTTAACGTTGTTTAATGACCACTCACTTAAATTAAAAAAAGGGTTAAATACAATTCGCCATCATCGATAGACCGCAGAAATTACTTGAAAAACTTCTTTAAACCGGAAACCGTAAATACCAACGGGAAAAAGCTTCGCTCACAAAATGGCAGAAGAACGCCCATTAAAATGTCGTAAATTTTGTTTTGATCTCGTTATAGAAAGTATTCAAAATAATATTTTCAAATGAATCGCATCAAATAGTATCAAAATAAAGTCTTCAAATAGATCTTATCAACTAGTGTCAACTAAACAATTCATATCAAACAGCATTAGAAAGAAGTTTTCAAATGATACTAGTCGATAATAAATAATAGAATAAGTAATTCCTTTAATAATAAATATTATTAGTTAATATCTAACAGTATTTAAATGAAATCCTCAAGTAAATAGTATCAAATAGTCTCTGAAATAGCATTAAAACGAAGTTTAAAAATAGACTGTACCCAACAGTGCTAAAATAAAGTTCTCAGATAAATACTATCAAATAGTATCGAACAGTACCTTACTCGATAAGCTTGTTCGCTTATTGGTAAAGGTCTGCTATCTAAATGTTAGAGGCCGATGCCGTTCCGTCCTAGCCGGCGGCGAAAAAGCAAACTGAACCGACATTCACTCGTCCGAATTACGATACCCGTGGATACAGCGTGGACACTAAATATCGCGCTGATTTATGCTAATCGATCTTTAGCCGCTTAATGATATGCCGATTGTACGGTATGCGCTCGCGGCTTACACGCCGTAACATTATTCTCGCGCGTGCAACACACAGGCGAGCCGCGAATGCGCGCTCGAGGTGGCGAGCGTAATTGGAAACCCGTTTCGCGTAATTTCGATACGTTCACGGATCCCCCGTGGCCGGTCGACGTCCCCGCCGCGTCGGAATCGTCGAACGAGGAAAGTCGAGCCGAATCGTCTTCGGGGAATCCTGAATGTTTTCCGATTACGAAACGTCTTGATCTTGAAAAACGATCGACGAAAAAACAAACGGTAGAGCCGGACTGTTAATAATTATGGTGTTTTCGTGAGAATGTTAAACAAATTGATTGCTACTGGGGAACTTTTTCTAGAGAAAACTACAATTTTTTGAGGGAAATGTGTGTAAAGAATAATATTATATTATAAGGAATAACATTAACGTGTATATAGAATAATATTAATAATCTTATATTTTTGTATGTGTAAGATGGAGGAATATTCTAATTTAACTCTATTTCAGCAGATATTTGAAACGTCCAGTATGTTTAGTTTCTTCGTTAAACATCCGTATTATATCGACATCTTTCCGAGTTTTTTATTCATCTTTGATTATATGTGCATATGTGTCAAAATGTTAAGGCACTACCACACTCCAGAATTATCAAATTCTGAATATATTTAACCCTAGATCATTAAGCTACATTCAACAAAATAAACGTGTGTTCCGTGGATATAAATAGACATAACCAGTCATCGAGACGAGAGATTAAGTAAAACAATCCGGAATTCCTTGTCCGATGGTTACCCCCTTCTTCTATGATATCTTTCGCAATTATGCTTGATAAAGCTAATACTCTATCGTTCATAGTTTATCAGAGTAAGAAAATAATTCAACTTACTATGTCCAGGTTTACTCTGGTAGGTAGTACATTGTCATTAATAATTTCTAAGCAAAAGAAAATAATTCAATTTGTTCTACGTATACGTTTACTCCAGAAGCTACCGATTGACAACAAAACAGTGACATTTAACCAATATACCAAAAAACCATATAACATTTTGATTCCTCCAATCCAGTTGAAAATCTCGAGCAGGTATCCGGCACGATATCATAGGGCAAAGGGTTAGGAGATGAAGATCGAGAAGAACGGAACCGGATGGGGGATGAAGGAGAGGTCGAACCGCAACGGTGACTTCATAAAATGACGGGGAAGGTCAGCTGAAATCTGAAATGTCACAGAAACCTGTACGGTGTCGGCGCACAGTCATGCGTGCTATCGGGTTACCGTTCCTAATGATTTACAACGGGACACGCACGCAGGTGCGCCTACGTGTCTTAATTACAGAGCACCGATCGCTCGTTTCTAATGTCTATCGCCGCCCGCGGAATCGAGGCTCGCCGCAAAACGATCCGTTCGGCCGGCCGGTTTGTATTAATGCATCGCTTAGCATCGAGCCGCGTATAAATTATTATTATGCTGGCCCGTATGGGACGGCGCATAAATCATTCACGAATTGATCCGTGCCCGTGGTCCGTTCAACGAATTAGCTTCCTCGTGACACGTGTTAGGGTACCCGAACGCAGCAACCGTTTACGATCCAGTTCGAAAATACGGCAGCTTCAATTGTGTTAAATCGTCGAGCAACGTTGGATAAAATGATGATAATAATACTTCTTTATTCTACACCTCGAGACACTCGCGAATCGAGACTGACGGTTCACGGATTTCTAAAGATGGTCATGAAGACTGAGGTTTAGAACTGTGGGATATTGTTATTAAAACTGGATCGATGAAACGTAAAACTAATTAATCAATGGCTTTATTGCACGTTAGATTAGAGACCAGGAGAAATAGCGAATAAACGAAATATTGAGAAAGAAGGATTGTTACGAAATAGCGAGAATTAGTCTCGGCGAGAGAGGTTAGGCTGTTTTTAAGTTTAATACTTCTTCAATGGAATTTTCATTTGTTTAGGTTTCGTATTCAGTTCAATCGTTTTGTCTGAGTTTTATAACAAATGTGGTCTTGAAGAATATTTGGATAGAAGATTCGAATTTCACAGATAAATTCGAGATGAGTTATATAATTTAGTTCGTTGAAATGGGTTGAAATTATTCTAGAATATTATTTCTATATTACATGTACAAGATTTGTGTATTTTGAATAACATAAGTGAGAAACCACTCGTTTCTTTCTCGAATACCATTTACGAAGTGGTCATCGAGTGTATTTAATTCTAGCTGCCTGATCATTCATTTCTAAGATTTTTATCGACGAATGCAAACAGTTCTTCGAACTTTCAATATCGACGAAGCACCGTTATTGCGGTTATAAGCGTTTAAGGAATGATACATTCCTTGAGATACATTTACTGATCCTCCTCTTTCAGTTATAACGCAGTTTATATAGCAGGGTAGAAGTCTCGGGAAGGATCTCATTATGCAAACGCTTTAATGTAACGCATAATGTTGCAGTCAGCGAAGAAAACGGGACGAGTTGTGATTGCACACGAAGCACCGCTAACGAACGGATTCGGAGCGGAAATAGCGTCGACCATTCAGGTAAATATCTTTTTCACGGCCGACATCTCAATTTTAAATGCAAACCATAAAGGACGCCATCGCGTTTAACCGAGTCTCTCATATATGCTTCGGTTTGGTTTTTTCCATTTGACCACAAACTTTTCTGAGATCGTTCGTTTCGATCGGTTACGTCTTCAACAAGCCTGTGTATAATTTACATTTCTCCCGTCGACAGTTCTCACCAGTATCGAAAGTTATTTAAAGTAACAAATAAATTTAATTTGGTTGTTATCTCCGAGTAACCAATAATTATATATATATAATTATTAATAATAAATATATATAATATATAGTCATAGTTCATAAATAATGAATAAATTGAATTTATTCGTCCCTTTTTTGGCTCGTTATTAACCGAATTTATAAACTCGAATGAGAAACGGCGAATGATAAATAACGAATAAAGGTTGTCCACGTAGAATAACTTAAACAACAAATTACCGAATAACGATTAATTATATCGTCATTGTTACTTGTATAAAGTTACATTCAAATAATACTCAACATTGCTTCCCACACAGAAACACGTTACAAATGGTTTCAAATTAATTTGTTGTTTTGATAATGCAGCCGACAATGATTGATTGACTTCGATCTTCAAACGACGTCTCTCTAGCAAAATGATAATATATTTCAAGGACTTTTACACTTCGATTGAAGTGCATAAACAGTGAGCAAAGTTGGGAGAAAAAACGGGAACAAAAATATTTGAAATATCGAAGCAATTATATCTTGTAACACGGAATAACTGGACTTAATTGAAGCATGCATGCATTGGTATAATAATTCAGTCCGACTATCGACACGTTGGTATGTCTAATGACCGAACGAAATTTTAAGTATCCTTGTTACGAAATTATTTACACGTATTAAGCGTGAGCTAGTTCCCTGCCTAAAATGCATTACATGCATGTTGAATGCATCGTCGGAATGTGGCAGGATATCATTATACGCGTTTCTGTTACGTCACCGCGCACACTTCGTGACGGTTCGATACGCTCCGGGTTGTTTCAGATGTGCAAACGCGCCCCTTGCAAAATTTTGAATCTCGAATCGAAATTATTTTCGATACCATCGCCAACGATCAAAAAACCTTTACAAGTGAATGAAAGTAACGATCACGGCGATATTACGATTTCAATAAAGATATTCAAAATAAACAGCACAGTTTCTTGTTAAAAAAATTGAAGCTTCGAACATTTCGATGAATGTAATTTAATTACTGAAATAATTATGAGCAAAACATGAGTCGAACAGTATTTTTCTTATAAAAGTTAACGTCATCAATTTTGGTTATCGAAACGATTATGAACAAAAAGCGAAACATTTATTTGTTTCATCTCAAAAGTTAATGTCATCAATTTCGATAACTAGGGTTCAAAGTCATGAGATTAACGAGATATATTTGAGTCAGATTTAGAAGGAATTATTTCTGGATTCGTGCGTTTAATTATAGCAGTTTTAATGTAACGTTGCATAATTGTAACGGATCCAATTATGAATTCGTACTGCAATTTATCATCGAGCCGTTTATTTTGAAAGTGACTTAAGTCCGTTAAAAAAAATTGTTTAAAAACATGAAGATAATATAGGATTGTACCTACTGTAATAATTTTACAATCTCTTTTTACAGATCTTTTAAACAACAATAATTTCTCTAAATATTCTGTTCTTAAATATTTTTAAAAATATTTCTTTGAATATCCCGAAACAGGATTTAAGCCAATTTAAAAATAAATGGTTCAATTTATTCAATAATTGAGATATTTCATGGTAATGTGCAATCCTTTTTTACAAATTTTGAAAGAAACAATAATTTCTTTAAATATTCTTTCCTTAAATATTTTTTAAAATATTTTTTTCTTAATATTCCGAAACAGGAGGAATGTTTCTTGAATCTGGAAGCCCCTATACAAAGAGTGACGGGTTGGGACTCTCCCTTCCCACGTGTCTACGAGCCATTTTACCTGCCCGATAAGTGGCGGTGCTTTGCCGCTGTCAGAAACGTCCTAAATTATTGAAACTGGACTGCGGATGTTCTCCACTTGGGTCACGGTGCAGTGAAATATACCAGAAACCTGTTGCCTCGTCGGACAGAGCCCACACGAGACGGCCATGCACCAGCTACAACATTGATCTTTGTCATTCTGGATATACTGACACCGTATCGCGTGTCCCTGGACTGAACCAAAATAGTTGTATGGATTGTTTATCCCATGAGGTTCAGATTTTATTTTAAAATAAATTATGCAATTGACACGAGATATTTATGCTTTTTACTGTTCACTATTTCAAATTGCTTCCTGAAGGCACTTCCATTTTTTATAAATACAGACTGTGGAATTGTTTGCTTAAAATGGCAGATAGAGAAATGTTAAATATTTTTGAGCATTCAAAATGAAATTGAAACATTTTTTTGCTTCGTTTGTAATTAACCTTCAGAGGACCGATATTTTTTCGTAAAAATAATGTTCTTTTCTTGTATTTATGTTTTACATTAAATATAAAATATTCTGTATAAAAAACTCAGTAAAAAATATAGTATAATATTTTATAGTAAGATACTTCGTTTTTGAAGTAATCTCGTTTGAAAATTTGCCCGGTGTGCTGTTCGATAGGTAGCGGCTACGTGTCTGTCCATAACTTATTCTTTCTACTTCCTGCGAGATCTAACCCGTCTGTGTTAGACAAACCTTTTACAGTTTCAATCAGTGAATTTTAATATAATAATATGATAAGTAAAATTCTATTTTGCGTTTTACACGTTGTATAATTTGTTATTGGACATGAATGAATGAAAAACACTTGTTTATATCATGAAGATATATAACGATTGTAAAATGACACTTTTCAACGGAACTTCGTTATGTAGAGAAAACTAGTTTTATTTTAAAGTGGCCTTTCTTCAATATTACACTGTCCTGCTCGAATACCAAATAATTAAAACAATTTTTTTATCTCAACAAATCAGACAGCATCTACAAACTAGAAATATTTCAATTTCTTAATTTTCTCGAGTCACCCACATGCATTCATCCCACCAACCACAACATTCAAACAAATACAAACATAGTCTCCAAATCCTCAGCAGAAATAGGCCTGTAACACTATTGAAGGAAGAACGAATTTTGAAAGATCAGGAAAGAGGGAAAAAACATTTCGTCCGGGATCTAGCGGTGGATTTCTCATTAAGGCATCCTAGTAGACTTGTCTTACAAGGAGAGGGCCAGACATAAAAATCTGTTTTTGAATGAAACCGTATGCATGTTGTAGCACATATCTAGAAATGAAAAACCTTTTTCTTTTCTCTCCGTTTTTCTTTGTTTTCCTTTGAATTACAATCCCTAAATAACTTGTATTTTATTATTGTAATATTATTTGTCGTCTTATTACAGTAACATACAAACTTAAAACTCAACAAATTTTTACATTGTTGTTCGGCGCGGACGAGTATTTGAGGTTTATATACAAATCGGAAAGGACTTGAGCGAGAAAGGCGCTTAGCTGTCAGTAGCCCTCTATTGGCAGAGTAGGAAGGTGCCGCCACAACTAATTTCTAAAAATACCATCTAAATGCAATTCGCCGACATTTTCGGTGCCGCGAACAATAGTGTTCTCTCACCGGTACGTCGATTTGTCACAATAAATTCTCGCCTAGGCGTTACACGGTTCCTCTTTGTCGGCGAGATGAAAGGTGGCCCAGCTTTTCATTGTTCGACTCGCTGGCGTTGGCGTGGAACCCGTGTCCCTGTCCCAATTCACCAGTTGCGTGAAATACTTTCCCGTTTGGAATTAATCGGCCAAAAGATGACATGCATCGTCGTCGTCGTCGATGTGCCATTGGACAATGACTCGACGTCTAGCAGGCTGGCTAGAAAACTTTATTATTGAATAGCAAACTAGCATTGAAAATAAGATAAAAACTGACTAATTAAGCTCGTATTCTTTAACCTTGTCATCTCCCAATAATACTATTTGATGATGTTTGATGTTTAGCAGGACGACATAGGAACAAAAGGCGTTTTTTGCCAACAAGAGTGTTCTATTTATAGTTCTGATCGGTTACGTGTAACTATATTAACGAAAATTAAATTACCACCGAAAATGAGATGAGAACAAATCAAAACCAACTAATCAGACCGGAATTCTTCAGCCTAGCCATCAAGTGACCTTCTAAGAGTACCATTGGATGATGTCTTTATGTCTAGCAAGATGGAACAGGGGTGACATGGGTATTTCGCTGTGTTTTGTTCCTAGCTGCGATTGGTTACGCATAACCGTATTAATAAATGGCAAATTAGTACTGTAGATGAGATGAAAATTGACCAATCAGGCCCATCTTTCAATGGTAGTCGTAGACAACAGCGTGGCATCGGACGCGGCAACAAGTAGTCCCGACGAATCGATACTCGCAATTAGAACGGACGTGTCTGCCGGTTTTTACGGGGCAACTGGGTCAAGTCTGTCCTTAGCAGTAAAATCCAGCGACCGATCGGCGCGGACCATGCGTGGCAACGTAATATCTTAATCAAGGCTTCAGGCTCAGGTGTTGCGCGGGCCTGGTCGGGTCCCGCGTATCCTTGGCGGAGGCGAGACGAAGCTGACAGACCGATTTTACTCCGACCGATTCTAAATGGTCCAATTAACCCCTTGCTTTATAACATTATGTAAGACTCGTGACGAAAATTTCGAACGGGGGTTAGCGAATGTAACTGTCATTATACTCAAGTGGATTGAAATGAGATATTGTTTTCCTGTTATTAACTGTTAGTTGTTGGAGTAAATGTGGATAGACGTAGGCAAACAAAGAATTCTTCCTTTTTCTTTAGCAAATTATTAACGACAAAATAATTCTACCGAGTATGGTCGTGAAAGAAATTATAGGGTAAGAGGTTAACGTGTTGATTGTAGTATCATCACACATCAGAATTCTATACAGATGAAACTGTCTTCTTAAGCCTTTCCTTGTGATTTCTTTTTCAATTGTGATTGATACCACCACTTTTTCGTTAAAAAAGAGACAAATTCTAGGAATATTTGCGCTAAAGAAGTATAATAATTGATAACTGAAGAATAATATTTAATTTGAATTCATAAGATAGTATAAGGTAAAGGGTTAAGGGAGTACTTTCCAATAAACGTCGAAACCATTGGCGAATGATTGTACTCAGGGAGGACTCAAACAAGGAAAGCAAGAATATTCTTAATCCCTATGCTTATTACTAAGCATTAGTAGTAACTCGAACTGAAATACATAATTCATATAAAACAATATCAACATGGCGAGTCATTAAGTTACAAATTCCCCTTCCATTTTCCTCGATAATTTCTTAATAGTAAAACGAACTATGATCAACTCAACATGAAAATATTATTCCACCTATTGCATGGAACATTTCAATAAAGGGAAGATCCACAGATACTTTCTTCTTCTTTAAATAATTAAATTATTCGGTTACTTCTTTCAGTTACAAATGCGAATACCTTAAAAATATCTATATCATTCACAAATGGTTAAAACAAACAACACTAAAACACACATGCACAGATTCACACGGAACAAAACATTTCCTACGACCGAGGGTGCCAAACGGCCGTTTGTTGGACAACACTCAATAACTTAAAAAGTATGAGTGATACAGACAAATGCTTCAAACAAAAGTTGTAGGGTATAGAGCTAAACATATGGTGGTTATACTTTCTTTTACATTACAGAGATATTAAGAAGTTTTTCAAATGACAATGGATACTTCGCGTATCAATGGTAACGTTATATAAATAAAGAAACGGAATTTATATGCATAACATTTTTACTTTTCAAATGAAAATCATTTTGTATAGCGGGGACTACTTAGCAACACATTGGTAACCTTCAACTTTAGTTATGTGAATAGTCGAATTTCGGGGTTTTGTCCACATGCGGGCGTACTGTGTGACGAAAGGGTTAACGAAACGTCGTCGAACGTTTGATAACGGGTCGACTCGTAAATTGGCGTTACAGCGTGGGCTGGAACTCGTTGGAGCCCGAGCACAGGTGCAGCGGAATGGAAGATCGAGTAAAAGCTCCGATCGACGATGGGCCGTATAGCTTCCAAAATGGCGGTGGACAAGGAGAGGTACCAAATAAACGGGGGTGGGAGCGAGGTGTGCAGCACGCGGTCAACTCCGTGCTGTATTTTGTAATTTGAAAGGGAAACTACATTCTTTCACTGTGTATTATGATACGTGAAAGTTGGCAAACGACGCGCACACACCGGCGGAACACACACCGGCCGCAGGAACGAAGAGGGTGAGCAGGAGCGAGACAACCGGTCGAGCGACGAAGAAGAAGAAAGAGAGGGACGGATCGTTGCAGTCCGGGCAAGCTGGAAAGAGAAAGGACGAGAGATAGAACGGCGCGGAAAGGAACAGAGGGAAAGAGAGCGAGAGCCAATCGCCGCGAAGGCATAGACTATATCGAAGGTCGACGAGTTGCCTTTTTATTAGTCGATTTTTGCGGGAATAGAGCAACGGTTCTGTGCACGCTAACATATGGCACCGATGCGCTCGCGGCCGTCGAAACCTGATGTATTCTCGGACGCGTTAATCCGACGGCGACGGTGAACCGATGCGCCCGCGAGAATACGGTTCGCCTATGATCGATCGCGAAATCTTTATTTTCAATTAATTTTGTAACCGGTAACGTCCACGTTGCTCGATCGATGTAACATGCACAGATATTTGATAGTAGACCGAGGGAAATTGCTTCCTATTTGTAGTGACTATCTAATGAATCTGTTATCGCGAATGATTAAATATCACATGATTGACTTGTTCGAACGGTGACTGTGCTATAACGTGAGGTCGCGGCGACAAGCACGTTATTAGCTCTTAACAGACCACTTAAGAGGTTTCTGGCTTTTATTTTTGTTTCGTAAGGAATTGTTGAATGTTCGAAGAGGATTGCTGGATTTATTTTTGGTATTATTGGCGATGGTTACTGATGGATTTGAAGGGTGCGTGATGGTTTTATAGGAATTGTTCGGTTTTTATTTTTGAGTGAGAAAATCGTTAGTGTTGGAGAGAAACTGTTGATGAATATATAAGGTCGTTTGAGTTTTAAGAACATGAGACTTTCATCTTCCTTTTTACTTTAGTGGAGGAGCTTTCTTTTTTCATTTTCTTGCTTATAGATTAAAGTTTACAATTAATGATTTTCACAGTTTTCAGTTAAATATTGCCGATTAATTAATTTTTTAAACATTCACCATTGGGTTCAGCAA